CTGGGCTTATGCAGTGTGTTACTGTGTTTTATTTTTCTCCAACAAGACAAGAAAGATCCCGAACAGCATTTTCCGAATTTATTCCAGGTGTGTTTAACAAAATCATTGATATGAGCAAAAAACACAGAAAAAGACTTCAGCCTCTGACTCTTTCCCTTGCCGCATATTAGATTCCTTTGCTTTTTTTCCCCAAGGTGTTTGTTTCCAGAAATTAAAAGCGAAATTAGTATGCTGCAGTTTAAATGATCTGTTGTTGTTAAAAAAAAAAAAAAAAAAAACTAGATCAAAGTCACTGGTTAAAAAAAATTGGTGGAAAAGACATTTAGCATCAAGGTGAGAAAAACTTTTTTGGTAAAAAAAAAATGCATTTTACAGGTTGATATAAAGAATAATCGCATTTATTGAGAATTTTGTTTAAAAAAAAAACTAAAAAAAGATAAAGGGAAAAGTGTATGTTACAAGTAGCATAGTTGTTTTTTGCTAAAGGTAAGGCAATTTATATATAATAATGAACATTTCAGCGGCAGGACAATTCAAAGTGAAAATGAGAGAAAAAAGAAAACTTTCTAGATTCAATGAGGACATGAGCACCATCAACTGTGATCCACTTTCAGGCAGAACTGTAAAGAAAACTTTGCTGTAATCAATTCTCCTGCTGAACGGTGATCAGCCGATTAGTTCGGATAGTCGGTCCCTGTGACCAGCTTCCATAAGCAAGAGATAATGGATGGAAGGATACATTCTGAGCATGCATAGAATGAATATGGACTTTTTTTTGTTGTTTTTAAAAATTTATCTACAGTTACTAGAAATGTATTTTTATCATTTGGTAATTAGAATTGCAACAAAAAACAGTGATAACTCTGGTTAGTTTAGTTTGACAGCAATTATTTTGAACACATCAGTATCCTGGCTGAATTATTTATTTAGTTTTTAAAAAGACTGCTATATTAGTAAACTATTTGCAAACAATTTTATTCATATTTTTTGTGTTTACTGCAGTTATAGCTAAACTTTTTGGTTGAAAATGATCTTATCAATGAATTGCATCATCCTTGTCTCCCTGCTTCAGTTTCACCTGAGATCAAAAATAAACAAAACTCCTGAAATTTTTTAATTAAAGGCAAGAAACATAACATTCAAATCAATGTTGTGTTGATTTTACGAATATTTTTTACCTCAAATATACAAACTTCAACTGAACAGATTAAGAGTAAAATCGTCTGCTTAAACATACTAATAATATAATTAAATTAACTGTATATTATGTATGTTTTGATTCTTCTTGAGTAAATATTGATAAATTTTTTTAATCTTTATCAGAATAGGGCTTATGTGGAGAGAGCATTGCAAGGAGCAATGCAGAAGTCACTGCTGTGATGAAACACACAAAAAGAAATCTTATTTAGCAAAAGACCTACAGAAAGATCAATCATCCAGTTTTTAAGCCACTTGGCAAAACAGCAGAGATTCAAGTAAATGCAAACCTAAATTGAGTTTCATAATTTATTTAGTTTCAGTTAAAAAGCAAATATTATACCCCTGCTGTGCATTCAAGTGTAACCCTGGAAATATGTCAATTCAATTTTTTTTATTTTCTGTTGTTCTTGAACAATTTTTTTACATAGCTTAGTAGGGAGATATTCTTTTTTAACTTATCCCACGTCTTAATAATGTACCCTTATTGTTCCCTAAGCTTTTTGTTGAATCTATATGGGTCTATATGGGTCCCAATGACCTCTACCCAGTTATGACCTTTAACCATGCAAACCACATCCACAGTAAATTCCACAGTGTTAAATATGCAGTGTCAAAGTACATTGACTCCTTTTGAGTTATTACAACAACAACTGGAGTAAACTATACACTACGTAGAGATCTAATTGAACACTAATTTCGAGTGGGACCAAATGCACTCTTAAAGTGTTACTTTAACTGTCATGATCTGGCCTTTTTGCTCTCCCTTAATTAGTCATTCTTTTCACCTGTCGTTTTCCCTTCCTGCCTCAATTATAGTTTATTCCTCTCACCTGTTTCCTCTTGGTTATATTCAGTTCAGCCTGTGCGTTCAGTGCCAGATCATTACTTCTCTTTCTGTTAGCCTAGTTTTATTTCATGGTTCATGTCCTGGATCCTGGATGTTTGTCTCGTCTCCTGATCGTCCACTGTTCCTCCCCCGCGGAGTCCTTTGGGTTTTTGGTTCTGTATATGGGGAGGTTCAGAGTTTATCTCAGTAAGCCTGGCTCTGGGGAGGAGACCAGTTTAAAGTCCTGCATCAAGTTCTGGTTCCACGTCCTGTCTCGGCTACCCTCTTCCACTGAGCCTGCTCATCTGCACCTGATCCTGTCTGCTCCTGTGCATGACCACCTGCTTCTGGTCCCAGTCAGACTCTGAGCCCTCCTGGGAGCTTGTGGATGCCTGGAAGTCTGGATCTGCCACCTGTTCTGTTCCTGCCTGATCTGGATCCTGTCCCTGTCTGTTCCTGTCTGTTCTGGATCCCTGACCAGGATCGGCTTCCAGCATGACCTCTGGGACTACAGCACTTGGGGACATTCTTGGACTGGACTGTTAAACTAGAGTGTCTGTCATTGGGCAGTGCCCCGCTCCCCATCCTGCAGTATCCACGACCCAAAGCTCCACTTTAGTTTTTGTTAATTTAATAAGCCTTTTTTAACTTTCCTACTGACTGTCTCTCCTTAAAAACTGGGTCCATCTGTCCTCGGTTCTTGACATTAACACTTCAAAAATGTACTGTCTGGGCTTTTTATGGGTCCCACATGTAGCCCATCTGTAACCCAAATGGTGCCTAGCACAGCTCGCTGGCTGGGTAACAGTATTTATCTGTAAGAATGTTTACAAGTAACAACTGCTTTTTGTCATGTTTTACTTGTTACCATTTTAATAAGATCCAATGGAGATTTTTAGATGCAGATAAATCATTGAATATATTTTACTTTACTTTAACAGCAGCTTAATACTAATCTGAGAAGCTTTTAAGCCTTTTTTTTTTACTTTTGATTTAAATTATGCTGAAAATAAACAATATGTAGTACTTTTAACCCTCTGGTGCATAGTGGTCACTGTAGTGGACAGCTACTACAAAGTAAATATCTCTTTAATTCTATGGTTTTATTGTGAAACCTTACCGCCCAGCAAACACATATAGGCTCCCCATTGTAAGACCCTAACTAAGTACACTTCAGGAGACATTCAAGGCAGCAGCAGATCCTGAGAAATTTCAGTCACTTCAGTAAGCTATGAGTGTCACTGGTTTCCTTATTCGGTTCTTAACATTGTGCCTTTATAATGTAAAAAATTAAACAAAACATGTTGAAATATTTTTCAAAGCATAAAATGAATCAATGGTCTGCATTTTTTACAACAGAATACTAGATCATTATTTTTTTTAATAAATTCATAATATTTTAAATTAAGTTCTCATGTGCGCATAGTCCACTCCAGTGGACATATCTGTAACTTCATGAAACAACAATATTTTTGGGGAAAAAAAGTTAAAAAAAAAATTTTCATGTCCTAAGAATAAGAAAAAACCTTGAGAAAAAAATCTTGATCAAGGCTTTCATAATTCATGCATCAGAGGGTTAATCTGAAAGTGGAGGTGAATCAATCTATTCCAGCACTAGGGGGCGCGTGGACTCTGATGGGGTCTTTTCATGTAATTTAGATCAGTTTAGTTTAAAAAAAAAAGATGAATGTTTCATTTTTCATTTTCAAATTAGGCTTAAAGAATAACACCAAAACTAAAAGAAATGAATAAAGTTCAAGTTTTTGCAATGACTTTAAAAATGTCATGGGATCTGATGAATCAAACCAAAATAGCCTATAAGTGAACAAAGACAAACAATGCAATTTTTTTTAAATAAATCCCCGTTGCTATTTGATGTATTCTTAATAAAAAGGAGGAACCATTCCTTGAATTATGGTTTTTGTATTCTCGCTGCATGTTTCAGGAGGGATAACTTGAAATATCGCTGCACGAATTCCAAGGAAGGCGCGTCAGAGCGCATCAGAGACCTCAGTCGCTTTCATTTTCTTTACAGCAAGTTCCCATTTATGGCAACATAAGGGCCAATTATTGAGAATATACACACTTTGCAGTTTATTTCAGCCGCGCTGCATTTAACATGAAAAATGCCCCAAAACGGTTATATATATCAATAATGTGTGAACGTAATTGTACACTATAAAGCCAAATATTTGTTGTTAATAATTAAAAAAATGTTTTTGTGCATAATCTAGCTAAGTTTATTTTACTTTATTGTTTGATATCTGTTGTGAGATTATGTTCTTTGGTTATTTAGTCATGTTCCTTTATTTTTGGTTAGTTATGATTAATTTAGGTTAATTGTTTTTTTTTTTATAAATAGGCAGTCAATGGTATAACCAGCAAGAGAAACATGGAGAAAATGTTTGTCTTTTTCTGTTTGCTTGCCTGAGGAAAAAATAAACTGACAAAACTAAAGGAGTTAACTGGTACCTTTTTTCTTTTGCCTGCGTAAAATAAGTCCACGGTGCATCTTTGGCCTTTGTGGATTTCCACTTTTTTGTGTCACCAAAGCTGGGCCACAAAATACACGTTCAATATAAAATAAAAAATAAACTCACATCAGTGAAGAAACATCATATTTATGATAAAACATATATATATATATAGTTTTTTTTTTAGTTGTCAACATTGTTGTATTTTTAACCCCATTGTAAACCTTATAGAATAACTGCTGTCTGATTCTGCTCATTCTATAAATATATTGAAATTAGTCATCAATAAGCCTTCTTAACTGAATGTGAAATGATCCAAACTGATATGGTGACGCACTGACGTTCCGAGTTTAATTGCACGTACTGGAAAATGAAATATCTGCGCTCTGATTTAAATAGGCCGCATTAGGTCAGCTCCAATAGACCACCAGGAGACACCTGAAGCTGCTTCCTACAGAGAGAAAATTCATTTTTACTCATTTTTAAAATAATAAATCAAGATGTCCAGCAGGATTTTCTTCGCTTGTGTCTTTCTCTCTTTGTGTTGCGCATCCTCCCCGCTGAGCTGCAGGTGGATGGACCATAAGTTCCGACAGTACAGCCAAAGCTCTTTAAATTTGCTGGATATGCTGGTAGTTAAGTTTTATTCTTTCAAACATGGCTGTTGGTTATCTAAGTTGCTATACATTTATTTTTTGTCTTTTTTACGATGCAGACTTACCCTTACACCAACCAGGATGCTCAGGCGAGCATTTGGCCTTTCCCTCATCACCTGTACACCCAGGCCTCTAGAACATCTGTAAGTTATCTGCCCACTACAATTTTATATCAGGTGAACATTAAAGTAAACGGTGTATATATATATATATATATATATATATATATATATATATATATATATATATATATATATATATATATATATATATATATAGAGAGAGAGAGAGAGAGAGAGAGAGAGAGAGAGAGAGAGAGAGAGAGAGACTTTACCGGTTCTAAACATTAAATCAAATGTTATGATGCAACAGTTACTCAGTACTGAAATAGCCATTTTTTGAAATAACCTTTTTTTATTTCTTAAGTAATTAGTTAGACAATTTATTATTTTACTTGAACAAAAAATGTGTGCTGTCTTGATTTAATTAAAGGTCTGACCCAAAATGCAGAAGACCAAAACAGACAGACCAGGGAAAAGTTTAACAGGTTTATTAAGAATATAGTGATGAATCCAGTGCTGCTCAGAACACTGTCAAACAGGAACTGGAAGGTGAGGGGAAGACACTGCGGTTAGTTCAGGCTCAGTGGGAAATTAAATTCTTTGGCTTGAATTGGAGGAATTGGTTGCAGACTAACTTCTCCAGAAAAAGGTGTCCTTTATGGAAACCAGTCTGCGTGGAATGTTCCAGTGATTGTCTTGTTTGGTGCTGGGGGGACGGGGTTTACTCAGACTGCAGTTGTTCCTTGGTGAACGGAGAAGCTGACTGCCACTCAGATTTCCTGCGGTACTTGAACGGGCTGTGGTGCAGATGAAACCTTTGCTCAGTGTGAAGCTCAAACGACCTCTTGGGGGAAAGTGGATCCAAGCCTCCTGTTTGGAACCCCAGTTTAGTTAGAAGCTCAGTTGATCCCTCCAGAGAGAGAAGGTCCGAAAAAATCCAGTTTGCAGGATGACTTCCTGCCGAGAAGCAAAGACAAAAACAAAGTTAAGACTCTGGTTGACAAAAACTCAGTTTGGCTCAGCAAAACTCAGCTTGGCTAGAGAACCCAAAACTGGCAAAACAAAAACTCAGGTTAGACTCTGCTAAACTAAGCATAGCTAGAGTACCCTGTATTGGCAAATACTCTGGCGTCGAGGTAGTAGCAGTCAGCAGCTTAAGAGAACTCCACAGGTAATGAGGCAATGAGCTGCAGGTGTGCAGGGAGACCCAATAAGGACGGGGCACCACCTGGTGGAGGAGGAAAGGAAACACAAAAACAGACCACACAAAGTTGATTCCTGACATGCTCAAGTTGTCTTATTACTTGAGTACATTGTTTCTGTTCTCTACCAACATCTGTTTATTATTTACATGGGCTAATGCTCCTTTTTCTTCCAGGCTGAGGGTAAACTTGCCTTCACAGTTCAGATCCTGAGGGAGGTGTCCGCCCTAATTGTGGAAAACGACAGCTATTCATCATGGGGGGAGATCACAGTGGAGCATTTTCTCAATGTTGTCAACAAACAGGCTGATGAACTCCAATCTTGTGTAAGTACACTTGGTGAGGTTGGTTTATATTGCCACAATATTTACATACCTAGTTATTATATTTTTATACATTTTTTGTCACATTACTACCTCTAAAATTAATGTAAAATAATGGGATTCCATATGACACAGTAGCAAATGACATTATTGTGGAGGGAAAAAAATACAAAACAGTATATATATAAGAGCTGCAAGTCGTTTGAATCTCTATAGAAGAAAATGGCTGTTGGTTTCTCCTAAAAACATAGCCAGGACAGTCAATTTGAACAATTTTCAAGTCTTACCATTGATTCTAATATTATTTCGGTAACTAACTAACATCAGAATATATGTTCTAATTCAATGAATATGACTGTAATTCTTTTTGCTATACGGTTTTAACACATAAAAAACTTTAGATGTAAACCCTCCCATTGTACCAGCCCATTTTTCAGGCCTGTTGTCTGGTGGGAAGAAAATGACATCCAGAAATTGTGACCTCATCATTTTCTTCCAGGATTTTCTTGCATTTAGCTTAATCCATTTCAACACAATTTTACCAGTTGACCAGTTTTGCAAGGCATGCAGAAAAAAAGCACCCTGTGTTTATGGAGCAGAAGAAGCTTTGTTTTCTGTTGTAAATAACCTGTTACACAGGATTTATAGCTTTCTTTTAACAGTGGGTTCCCAGCTAATTGTCCTCCAGCTAAGCTTTGGAAAGTCACAGCTCCTCCAGAGTCACAGGCTTATCTCATATGTTAATTAGTTTACTTTCCAATGTAGCTGGTTCTACTGGATTTTGCTCAGGTAGATCAGAGTAATGGCGGTAAATGTAAATGCCCAACACACCTTTCAGATTTGTATTTTTAGAAAAGTTTGAAAAACATGCATTATTTTTTGCTTCATATTTTTGTGCCACGTTGCTCTATAAAAGAAAGTGTGATCTTAGTGTCATAAAAATCTTTATGAATCCCTGTGTGGTTTGACTTTACGATTAAATGAGCATAAGAAAATAATTATCTTTTTCTCTCAGGTTGGAGGAGAATGGAGACCAAACAGGAGGCTGCACACATACTTTAAGAGGCTTTCACATGGCATATTTAGACAAATGGTGAGCCTCATTCTCTAATTAAAGGGTCCAACTTGGAGCCTGATTTATTTTTTCAAAAATAACTGATATGATTATTTTTTTTATCACCATCAGGGCCACAGCACTGAAGCCTCGGAGCTGATCAGGAGAGAAATCAAAGTCCACCTATTCAGAGTGGACCACTTGGTTTCCTCTCTGTTCACCGCTAACTGAAAACCGCTCAGCTTTTACAAACAACTTAATTTACTTGTTTATTTAATTATTTTTTTATTAATTGATTATTTATTATCTGCATCTGAACACCATAGAATTATTCACCCTGTAAAAGAAACAATGAGATGTTTTCTTTTGTTTTTTACATATTTATTTTAAAACAAAGCAAACAAATAAAAATTACTCTTTACAGCAGCCTTGAATCTGTTTATTGATAAATGGTGAACTATAAGAGGAAGTCAGCCTCTCTGAGGCTGTGGTGAAATACAGATTCATGCTTTTGCAATTCAACAAAATGGTAAAAAACAAAAAAAAACTCAGATACAACACAATTTATACACTAATGCATCAAAGCACATGGAATCAGCTGGTGCACCAACATCAGCCAATGATAAGCAATCTCTAAAAGAGGACAAAAAATACATGATTTAGCACCAAAGTCCTGATACCTGGGACTAGGGGTCTTACTTTGGGTGTTAAAACACAAAGATGGTGGCCTGCAGAGGAACCTGATGAGTACATTTTTTTAAGAACTATTACAAAGGATAAAAAGGTAGTTATAAGTGTATGCGAGTAAAACCAAGCATTGCAAAACAACAAATGTGTAATTCATCAGAATGAGTTTTCTCTTTCCTACTGTCATCCCCAGTCAACAGGCAGAGGGGCATAGCTGGGAATGTGTTCAGAGGGAACACAGAGAAATACGGCTGTACAGCATGGGTTGCTACTGATGCTTATTTCTTTTCTATCTTATCCAAAATCCAAACAACTTTTGCTGATCAAACCTTGACATGATGGTTTAACACTAAAAATATTCCTTAAAAAAACCCTTTTATTCTAAAAACAATGGAGGCTAGCAATCCATGGATGTATGCAACAACCGCCAACGATCTAGGTCTTGTTTTATTATTTTCGTGTCTTTCTAAATTCATTTTCAGTGATGATAATATCCATCAGCAAAGTTTGGGTCCGAGTTGTTAGCTGCTTTTACTTTATGGTCCAAAAACTGGACATTCTAGGGTTAAACTGCTCTAGCAAATAACAAAAGCTGCACCTTTCTGGGCAAAACACAGATATATTCACACCCAAAAGGGGACCAACAAGTACTTGTCTGCCTTTTTCACCACACAGGCGATAATTATGAACATAAACTCCACATTTATGACTGCAGAGGGTGTTGGTTTCACTCCCACGGGGCCTCGGTTTCTTCAGTCCGAGCGTACGCAGAAAGATCTTCATACAGACCTCCCCCACATGTCTCAATGGCCAAGCCCTAAGAAGAAAGCATGGTTAAGTTAATTACCTTGGATTATATGCATATGAATCCAGTATGTCTGAAAAAAATATTTTCTTTATCTTTCATAAAATCTTTTTTTGCATGAATGACTCAGAGATCTCAAACAAAAAGTTGCTGCTGCTTAAAGTCAAATCGGCTTGCTGACATTAAGTACAAATATTTGCATAATTCTTAATCATCTTTCTGTGCCTCTGGGAAATATGAATATTTTTAAAGGGCAGAAAGAAGATAAATTACAGCAAATAAACACTACTTTAGTTGTGACCTTAAATATGCAGATTTTTCAATGGTATCTTATGACAAGAGTTTCTCTATGATTCAACTTCCTCTTAACGGTGAAAAAATAATCATTTACATTGTTAAAAGGTGGATAATAAATAAGATTAAACTAAATGTATTAAAGAAAATTTGCTAGCAAAGTGAAAAATAAAACAGCAGATAAAAAGTGTATGTATTAAAACTTAAATGTTCAGCAGGAAACAACAAAAATAAAAACCAATTGTGATCAAATCTAAAAGAGTGACTGAGGTGATTAAATAAAACACATCAGAAAATAATAGAATTAAATGATCAACAATAATCGAGTTAATTTAGAAAACACAGCAGTCCTTCTTTCTTAAAGCAAGGTGCTTTGCTGTAAATTCAGCGTCTTACAGTAGAAACTGCTCAGACGTGTCAAAAGTACTCACATTCTGTACTTAAGTAAAAGTTAAGAAATGTGCAGGTCCCACAATCTGATTAAGTCCAAATGTAAAATAAAGCATTTGCCTGAATCTATAAAAAATAACTCAAAAAATCTTCTGAAATTCTTATATTTACAAAACGGGGATTATTTTTTCTATTTTGCTCACTGTATTGTAAAAGGGAACCTTAAAATAATACTGACCTGGTCTAAAGGTGTATTAAATTAAACTTTCAGACAGAATGATACACATTTAACTAAACATAAGTTCCATGTAAGCGGTGGAATACTTTTATATCTCTGATATTTAGATCATTAAAGTTGCAAATAGCATTAAAGTAAAGCAGAACCTTAAATATAATAAACATGTGCATTCAAAATCCAATAAAGAGGGAATAAATGTGGATTGTCCTGTCTCAGAATCTGATCAATCATATTTCAATATTTCAAAACCCCCTGTCTTCATGTTTTTCAAAAAATTAACTGTGCTTCAACTGTACGGATTGTCTTTGCACATTTGATCTTCTCTGTTTTAATGTGGATGTTATGCTATGTCATTATCAGCACAAAAAACAGTAAAAACCCAGTTTTGAGAAAGTAAAGCATAAAAACATCTGAAGAATAAAAACTCAAGTAGAGTATATACACTTAAAAAAGCTACTTAAGTACTTTAGCTAAATATTTATACTTAGTTTAGATCTCTGTGAAGCTGCATATTATTCAACAGAAAGTCTGCAGATCACTATTTTTTAGTTTTAAACTAAATCCGTATGGATCCATGCTTATTTAACATACATTTTCCTATAAAATAATATTTTCCACATATCTTTAGATACATGTTGGCAGTGACTTATCTTTATTTTAACAACAATAAAATGCATTGTTCAGTCCGTTTGCTGATTAAGAAAAAAATCGTTTTTGATATTGTGATGAAACAGTTCCTGCAAAAGTGAAAGCATAAAGTAAAAAAAAAAAAGAAACTATATTTGATGCAATTAAAAAACAGCACCAACAAAGGCAGAAGAACAAACAAAACAGTTGTGGCTTAAAGCTCAACGATGCAAGAAGACCTTTCATCCTGTTGACTGGCAGGATTGCGCTTGTCCTTGTTATGTAAAAAGGCACATCTGTGCAGAGTGTTCAACATCCATTTTCTGTCACGCTTTATGCTGGTGCCTATCTCCAGCTGTCTAGGGGCGAGAGGCGGGGTACACCTTGGACAGGTCGCCAGTCCATCGCAGGGCAACACAAAGACAGGACAAACAACCACTCAGGCACACACTCACACCTACGGAGAATTTAGAGCAGCCAATTAACCTAACGGCCATGTTTTTGGACTATGGAAAGAAGCCAGAGTACCCGGAGAGAACCCTCACATGCACAGGGAGAACATGCAAACTCCATGCAGAAAGACCCAGGGGTGGTAATCGAACCTGCAACCTTCATGACATATGAAAATAGGTGAACATAGCAAATATAAAAAGACATGAATAAACTAACCTCATAGATGTGGTCAGCTTCAGGCTCTTCATATACACTGTCATTGTCTTTTATCTGAGTTAGAGAAAAAAAAGAAGCAAAGTTGAATTTTTGGAATGAAATGAATAGATTCATCCATTTGCTATTTTTTATATTCATTTAAATACATATTTCTTGGTTAGACTTAAAATTATCAGTTAAGCATTTTCATTATGTTTTCAAAGTATATTTATAAAACAGAGCAAGACATATGGGGCCTTGTTAAAGTATTTTAAAATCTTGAACTAGTGGCGGTTCTTGACAAAATTCACCAAAGGGGGCATTGAAAAAAAAACATGAAATGATAAGCAGGGAAAACCAAGATGCAGCTCCACAATCATGGAGACATAAACTGAAAAACATAAATTTCCAAGTAAATATCTAATTGCATTACCATGTATTGTCACTTTAATTTATTAGTGAATGTGAGCTCACTAGCTGACCATTTGCTGGTTGATGTAACCAGTAATGCCACATCATGGGCAAAGATACTGTTATGAAATAATAATAATAATAATAATAATAATAATAATAATAATAATAATAATAATAATAATAATAATAATAATAATAATAATAATAATAATAATAGTAATAATAATAATAAATACGATAGCCTGTGAGCTACTGGCTGCAAAAATATCACAAAGAGCAAGATAAAGAACACTAAAGCATTTGCATTTGTTAAAAGACAGTTATACATTATGTGCTACATTACTAAAATTGTAACAGCTAAAGGAAGAGCTAGGTAGAGGTTTTAAGATATAAAGCCTGTCTCTGCTGTAAATAAAGTTGGAACTGAGTGAAATATTCAGTTTTATAAAAGTGTGATGTTTATAGTGTTTTGAATAATAAATCAAGATAAAATAAAGATATTCTTTGGAATATCTTTATGTACATTCATGATTCGAGAACAGCACATGTTTTTGTTACTTATTTTAAATGAAAATGATCAGTTTTACCCAATTCAGAACTAGAACGCAAGTAAATCAGATAAAATCATAGTTAAAACAGAACTGCACTGCAAAAAATAGAAATCTCAATAAGTAATTTTTTCTTAAAATAAGTGTGTTTTTCCTTGAATTGAGGAGGTAAGTAAGACACTTTGCCAATGGAACAAGACAATTTCCTTTTAAAATAAGAAAAAACTATTTTATCGTCTTATTTCAAGTAAATATTATCTAACTATCTTATTTTATGAGTAAAAATACTCATTCCATTGGCAGATCATCTTATTTACCTGCTCAAATTAAGGGTAAATATACTTAATTTAAGAATTTTTTTACTTATTTCTGGATTGTTTTTGCAGTGTGTGAAGGTGAAAAAAACAGTTTTACAGGAATCAGTCTTAAAAGGGTACTGGCCCCTATTGGCCCTAATCTAGAACTGCCCATGCATTAAACTCTTTTTGACATACTATAGTCACAAACTTCAGTATATTTTAATGGTTTTTAATGACACAGACCGATACATGTTTGGTGCAGGGCTGCAAAGAGGGAGGAACTCAACCAAGCTCAACAGAGTCAGGATTTTTCATTCTTTGCTGCCGTTGAACATGTCTCTACTAGCTTTAAATGTCTGGAAACCTTTTTTTTTTTTTTTTTTGCCAATTCTTCTTTGGGAAATAACTGATTTAGTAAGACTGGACAGAGAGCATCGTTACAGAGTTGTTGGTTTGATTACGCCCTCTTCTTGTCCTATTTTACAAGGCATTTAACCCTTAGCTACTTTGGGCTGTGTTCAAAACAAGTAAAAAAAATGCATATTTAGCTAATTATATGCATTAAATTGCTCTTATTAGTGTGCTGGTGATAGTTCTTAGCCCACTTCCAATTAATGGGGTATATAAGTGGATAGGAAATTACTTATAGATAAACATAGAAAAAAGAATCTAAGTAAAAGCGAAAGACAGAAATATCAATTTTGCATAAAAAAAGCTTTTTAGTTGGTAGCTAAGGCTGACTAGCAGAGAGAGAGAAAGCCAGTTTCAGTTTCAAACCAGTTTTGACCAGATCACATAACTTAATTTGCAAGTTTTAGGTAGTGAAGCCTTTCTGGTGTTTTTCGTGTTATTTACTTACATGTCACCTTATTTATTTATTTATTTAACCTTTTTAAAGTATACCAAGACACATCCCTGACTCTATTATTGTGGTTTTGGCAAATATAACACTTGTTCTCCCAAATACGCAACAATGCAACAGTCATGCTGTAAGTCTTTAACGATTGTTTATATGTGTTGAAAGTTGAAATACATTAATTTCATACGTAATGAAGTTGACGTTTTAAATCACAATAAAGTTTGTGTTCCCCTATTACTTAAAGACCAATGCTTGGAGCGTAACCTTGCAGGTCTTTTTCTATACTCAAATGAGCCACAATCTGACCATAAATAAATACGTTTATTTATTTATTTGTTTGGGTATAGACATATTCCTTAAAAGTTTAAAAACAATCCACTGGACTTGGTTTCCAAGGTTTGAAGACGTTTCGCTTCCCTTCCAGGAAGCTTTCTCAATTCAAATTAAATAATTCAATTAATTCAGTAATTAATGCTCAATTCAAATTAATGAATTCAATTAATTTGAATTGAGAAAGCTTCCTGGAGGGGAAGCGAAACGTCTTCAAACCTTGGAAACCAAGTCCAGTGGATTGTTTTTAAACTTTTACAGAATGACTATGACCTGAATGACTGAGGCGCTTCATCAGGATATAGACATGTATATTTACCTGATTCCCAATCATCAGGATAATTGTGGGGAATTAGGTAAGTGTAAGTTTCTTTGAATCTTTTTAAACTCTTTATCCTTTGAGCATCCAATTTATGTCTTGAGGAACCAGACTGGGTTCAAACATACTACGTTCCAAGTCCACCCTACATGCATGTAGGATCCACCGATGCATTTTAAAATGTACCAAAATGTGTTCAACTTTCAGTCTGTCTCATTGGATTTTTTGGCAATTGCCACATTCTGCTCTGTACACTGCAAAAAATTTTAATCTTAATAAGTCAATTTTTCTTAAAATAAGTGTATTTTTTCTTGAACTGAGGAGGTAAGTGAGACACTTTGCCAATGGAACAAGACAATTTACATTTAAAATAAGAAAAAAAACAATTGCATTGTCTTATTTCAAGTGAGTTTTATCTAATTATCTTATTTTAAGAATAAAAATACTCATTCCATTGGCAAATCCTCTTACTTACCTACTCAAATTAAGAGTAAAAACACTTAATTTAAGAAATCTTTACCTATTTCTAGATTGTTTTTGCAGTGAACAAGTCTGTATATCTGACGGATGAGGGAGGGTGAGTTGTCATGGGTCTGGTCCCATACAAGTTAATTATCTAACTGAATTGGTTCTATTTAGTATCCTGCTTCCTTGTCTAAGCTCATTCATTTCTTCCAGGACTATTCAGCTAGCACTTATCATGAAAGCTGCATACACACTTTCACCTTAGCTGAGGTGCGTTTTCTATTTGAGGTATTTGGGTTGATTCAAGGTGTAAAGGGGCTAGGCTCAGGCTAAATGGTTTTATTTAACATTTTTCATTTTGAATAAGAAAGGAAAGTTTAAATAAATTCGAATTCGCCTCATCTAATTCTGACAAAGATGAAATAAATTATTTTAATCAAATATCAACTCATTATTTTGTTTGTTTTAGTTCATTGGAGGGTCCAAAACAGAGTCCAAAACATATATTTAGCTACCTTAAAATTTAGTAGTTATTTTTAAACTCTGCTGTAACTTATCTGAGATGTAAGAATAAATAGTTCTATAAAACAGCATTTGTCTGTGTGTGTTTGTACAAAAAAAAGAAAGAAAAATATTTTCCCATTTGCATATTTAACATTTCTTCTGACACAATCCCAGGAAAAGTTGTCTTTCCCCCAATGGGAAGTTGTTACAGAAAACACATAAATCACATTATTTTTCATCACAATCAACATTTTTCTTACAATACATCAATTTTTGCTGATTCTCACCAGTTTCTGTTTACGTAGCAGGTAGGCGCCGATACAAACAGCCACCAGCAGACCTTGCAGGACAATGAGACCATCCTTCATCTGGGTCCTGTACTGGGCACTGATAAGGTTAACTGGTCCTACGGACAATAAAGTGAAAAGTTACTGGAGTGTTTTTCTGCCATGTATTGTTTTGCATCTTTTAAATAAAGTCTTATTATCTTACTTATTATTTGTACTTCAGTTCCAGGTCCCCAAGTGTCGTTTATTTTGCAGTAATATATTCCGCTATCCTCTACTGTAAGTTCTTTGAAGAAAAGGAAAGCATTTTCAACTGAGCCTTGTTTTTCATACCGAATCCTTTCACTCTCGACAATCTCTTTCTCTGGAGAGTCATATTTCATAGCCTTGTACCACTCCGCAGTTTTTGCCGTATCTTGTTCTGAGGACTGGCAGTAAATAGATACATCCCTACGAGATGTCAATCCGTAAAATCTGGGCCTCTGGCTGATCTGCAGGGCAACTGAGGAGATAAAAAGAAAATAAGTTAAAAGAAATGTACAAGAAAATCTGCCATTCAACTAATTGGATCCTCAAGTTGTAAGCAACGTTTTTAACACAGGTGATTCGGGGAAATTAAAAAACTAATCTTTTTATTAGTGCCCGAACAACTTTTCAGAAAGACTTTTGATTAAAATTATAAACAAAATAGCTATTTACAAACTAATCAAGAGTGCATCTGTTCTTTAATCTTTGGATGCATCCCTGCTGCAAAAAAAAAAAAAAAAAAAACAGAATATAATGAATTTATCAACCAGGCTTTCCAAAATTTGCTAACTAACCAAATGCAAGACAGGGCGAGGCAAGTTTCTCTGTAAAGCAGAGACAATTGAAAGTGCTGTACGTTAGGAAAAAAAACCAAACAAAGGTAAAAACTAAACAGTGGTAATTTAACTTTTTAATTAAGGGAAAGAATGAACAACATTTAAAAAGGAAGCAATTAAAAAAATGTGCATACGAGGAATACAAAGGAGATGAGTTGATAAATTAGTTAGCTTACAATGGCAGGGGACATGACTGGTGAGCTGATAGTGCAGCTGAATGGGAATAGTGAGAACTGGATCCAGTAGTTGAGGGACAGTGACAGTTCGTCATTGTCCCTAAAGAAGGAAGCTTTAAAGGTGGATAAATGTGTCTTTTAAAAGATTGGTTAAAAATAAATAAATAAATAAAACAAATGTTCAGAGGCCAAAGCAGCAGCAAGCTGCAGATATCAGAAAAGTTGACTTGAATTAATAAGCACTTTTCATGTAGACTCTAAACCCCATATTAAAAAAAAAAAACAAACAAAATCTACCTGGTATAATTTATGACAACAGCTAACTATGTTGCTAACCAACAGACTGAGCTGCAGGGATGAGGGTCAACCTGGAAGGAAGGCTAGTTTTCCCCAAGAGTTGGTTTTAAAGCCAAACCAATGGATAATCTTGTTGTGCATTTTCTAAAACATGTATACAGTTTGTAATAATCATTGTCTTCTCTTCAGGATTTTGTGAGTGTCTTAGCAATTGCAGCTGGTCAAAGGGGAGCCTGTGCAAGCCGACCCCTGTGATCTAAGATTTGTCTCAAATACATCAACACAAAGACTAACTTAAAATTAACAAAAGAAAATATAAATTGGTAAATTAAATACATCAAAGTTTGTTTGTCTTTTAAAAACCCAAGAACTTAATATCAGGAATCTAACAAGTGCCCTTAAAAGCCTGTATGGAACACCAGAAGATACTGTATTTTCGCGACTATAAGGCGCATATAAATGTCTTTTTTTCCCCTCAAAATGTGCAGCGCGCCCTATAGTGCGGTGCGCCCTACAGTATGTGTGTTGTTACTGCGGACGTTTGAGACCACCATGAGAACGTTAAAGGGGGAAGTGTGGCCGTGGATTGTGTATAAAAGAACCGATATGTGCTTTATGCAGAACATTGTTGTCTTAACAACCCTGAAAATGGCAAAGAGACACGCCTATGAGTTTAGCCTGCAGTTTAAGCTGAAGGCTATCAGCTACGCAGAGCAACATGGAAATCGAGCAGCCGCAAGAGAATTCAAGATTAATGAATCGATGGTTCGCAAGTGGAGGAAGATGGAAAACGAACTCCGACAGGTGAAGAACACGCAGCTGAGTTTCCGCGGACATAAGGTCCAGCCAATTCACATCACCAACATGGACGAGGTGCCGCATTGTTGATGCTTGGGCTAACGTGTCTGCTGGCACTGTTGTTCGAGCTTTCGCAAAAGCCGGCATCTTTTCCGAGGAGCCGTTCAGCACGGAAAGTGACTCTGACAGCGAAGAAGGGGAAATTAGCATGTCTGATTTAGCGCAGCTGTTTAATTCAGAAACAGAGCATGATGACTTCGATGGGTTTGATTAATACTTTGTAATAAATACATGAATAAAGCACAAACATACACAGTTTTGCTCCCGCTTTATTTTTAAATACGCAGTAGAGGTATTTAAACGTAGTAGAGGATATTTACCGGTATATAAAACCTGCGCCCTATAATCTTGTGTGTATTAAATACAGTAATGGCACACAAAACTGAGACTGCGCTTTTTAGTACGGTGTGCCTTATGGTCATGAAAATACGGTACAAAAGCAAAAGATAATCCCCCATCCAGGGTGCTGGTTTGACCTGACAATGAATACAGAAAATGGAAGTGTTTTCAATTAAAGAGGTTTTGTTTATTCATTTTGTTTCATTTTTGTTCAAATAACAAATATTTAAAACAGTTTGATTGATTCTGTTTAGTTGAGCATTTAAAATAAACATTTGGCACATCTACAAAGGTTCTAAACAGTTACAGATACACCAATTGGTGCAGGACTCTTTAAAGAAGCATTAAAATTAGACATTGTTAGATAAATTGGTAAATCTTAGAGGTATGACCCAATCACTTTGCTGCTTGATACAGATTTATATTTTCCAAACAGACTGACATCAGTTAATAGGAAATAAACAGGTTTTCCATTGCCACCACATTTATTCCAAAGAAAATAGTATTATCATCTTAAAAAAAAACAACAAAAACAAAGAGACTTTTTTCTTTTATTTTCCAAGTCTTATATGTGGCAGAAGATGTAAGTTTTATTGAAGCGGATATAAGTAAGAAATAACAATTTTAAAATGTTAACATCACAGGAAAAATGCATTAGCCAAGTATAAAATTGTTTTATAGTGTTTGCATGTTATTTATTTCATAATTGTTCACTCTCACCTCCAATTACATCAGATGGAAACAAGAGCTGTAATCATGAAATGTTTTTCATAATTCCTGCATACTATAATGCCATTCTATAAGACAAATAATCTACATAACATCTTGCTGAGGTCAAAGACATTTGTCAAAATGTTACAACTGATTTGTAAAAGAAAAAATAAATGGATTAAATAATCTGAAGAATATATCATTTTATGTGAATTAATTTTAAGTGATAATTTCACAAAGAAAAGATAATATTCCAATAATTTTATTGGAAAAAATTCATTTAGTCAGTTTCATGCTTTATTATATTCACTTTTGTTTGATTTTGTGCTAATAATTTATTATTGATTATTATGTGATAACAAACAGAACAGCATAAGAAGTCTGAAATATAAGTGAGATTATTAATTGAAAATTTTTTGCACATTTTTTGTAACATTATTGAGTCACTATAAATGTGTTTGATTCAAAGAACTTCATCAACAAGACAGTAAAATAATAGTCTTTGTCTTAGAGAACTTCCTCTTTTTACCTCCAGATGGCCAGGAAGTAGTGGTAAAAATAACATGCAAAACTCTTGTGTGCAGTGTAGCTGTGGATAAACATACTTTAAACATACAATTAAAGGACATTTTAGCTTTAAAAAAAAACATGTTACTTGAACCCTATCAAGTTTAAACAACTAACTAACATTCATTACAGGTCCAGATATCGTTTGGTGAATATTTATATATCATATAATATATTTTCTGCACGCAAGAAGTAAAATTATCCTCTTGAAAAGAGTAAATATTTATATTTACCTGATAGACTTATCAATGCAAACCCACAGCAGCCAGCTAGAGTCCAATGCATGATGACAAGAAAAAGGAGGAGATCTGCTTTAACAGTTGGCACCGTTAGTGAATGAGAGTCTTTCTGCAGTCTGAAAAAGGTTAGGCTGTTAGTTTGCTTCAGTGGGTGTGCGCTCTGTTGGACAACATGCAGACTTTAACTTCACGCAAATGAGGGGAGGAGAACAGCAAGCAGCAAACTGAAATAACTTTGAGGCGCGCACTGAACTTCAAAGCCTCTGCAGGTTTATTTGAAACGTTATGCCTGTGAATTTAAAGAACATCTAAAAAATAAAGCCATAGCCTACTGAAGCTGACTGAATTTACACTTTTTGTCAGTTTGGCCATTGATTGTACACTTCTTCTTCATCTTTGATCTAAATGAGATAACCTGTATGAATAAAGGTGAAATTAAAAAGAGTATGGTGGAAACAGACTCTTTGCCGATCCAAGCACAAGCAAAATGTCTGGTCCTTACAGAGCTGTAACTTCTTCTTAAAGAAACTTTTATTTCTTTCACTTTTATTAATGGCACCTATTTGAGCTGGTTATCTGTATATAAAAGACACCTGAGCACAGCCTCAAACATTTAGACTTAAACTGAACCATGACCAAGACCATAGAGCTGCAGAAGGACAGCAGGAAGAAGATTGTTGAACCTGCACCAGGGTAGCCTCGTGAGACCATCCTGAACTCGCGAGCTTTCAAGGTTTCACTCGCAGATCAGTCTGGAGACTCTCCGTTAAAGAAAATTCAGAGCCGTTCACCAAACGAACGTCCAATCAGCGTTGGCTTTGAGGCGGGTTGAGGTGTGACGCAACGAGAAGCGCGACAGTTCAGTCTAAAGAACATGGCGGCTTCAGCCGATGAAACTAGAGTTAGCGTGGCTATCGAGCAAGTTTTATCGGAATTACAGAGTATTTCTTCACTGAAAAAAGAGCAAAACACTGCTATGGAGGCTTTTCTCAGAGGAAAATATGTTTCTGCCCTTTTCCCGACTGGTTTCGGCAAGAGTTTGATCTATCAATTGGCTCCTCTTCGTCGTCGCTATGTTGGTACCTCATATGCTTCGTTGATCTGATTGGTTTATTTGGCCCGTCTATCACCAACATAGGCCAATCAGCTAACCAGTATTTTCGCCCCTTCCCAAATTACTTCAATGGAAGGTTTCCAGATGGATATGCGGAGCAAATCCATCTGGCGGAGTCAGGTTAGCACCAGGGTGGGAAGAGTGAATCTACAATAGGAAGGAGGTTGGCAACTGGAAGAAAAGTAGAAGACATGCAAAACCATTGATAATCTCCCTCAGCCTGGGGCCCCACACAAGATCTAATCCCATGGGGTCAAAATGATCATTAAAGCAGGAAAGAAATCTTAGAACTACATGGAGGGACCTAATGAATGACCTGCAGAGAGGTGGGAGCAGAGGAACAACATCTACCATCAGTAACTTACTTAACTTTGGGGATGCAGTGTTTTTTTTTTTCCTCTGTTAAAAAAGTACAAACACCTTTCTCTATGTCCTGTGTCAAGCGAGGGGTCTTGATTCTGGCTAAATTTTAATGTCAATTTTATAATTTTTTAATCTAGATTTGAGTCTCTAATACCTTGTGTCTGCATGCTGTATGGCATTTAGCTTAACTGAGTTTAGTTAGGCTGGAGTCTTTTCTGAATAAAGCTGGGGAAAATTCTGACTCATCATTCACTCTTTATAGCTTGATCAGAAAAAGATCATCATAGTGCAAGACCATCCCACTCACTTTTCCAGTCTGTCACCATCACTGTTTGTCATCCTGTCACTGGATCCTGCTTGATTGTTCCATAACAAATCCTGTTAGTGGTGTTCAAGGACAGAATCTGAGAGTTTTTTATTTTGTTTTTTGTAGACCATATCATTCTAATGGCTTTGTTAACAACTTCCAACAGACTGGCGACCTGTCCAGGGTGTACCTTGCCTCTTGCCCATAGACTGTCAGATCAGCATACCCCGTCAGACCAGAATATCCATAGTAAATATGGATGCGCAAGACGTCAAATTTGCATTTATCCCTTTAGTTTTGCCCTAATGGGCGAGTATCCCTTTAGTCATGTACAAAAAACAAAACAATTTAAGGTCGGCTCGCCATACGCTCCAAAAAACACCAAAAAGTAAGTAATGAAATTGTTTTTTTGTACATGACTAAAGGGATACACGCCCGCTGAGGTAGTTTGAAGTTTAAATTTTGTACAAAACTAAAGGGATAAACGGGTATTGACTATGGGTATGCTGGTCTGACCAGGTATGTTCATCTGACAGAACACTGGAAATAGGCACCGGCCCCACCGCAAGCTTTTACAAGAATTAAGCCGGGGGTAGATAGATGGATGGATGGAATCTTTCTGACTTAAATTAGCCCTAACCTAAACTAGACTTAGAGAGACTTAGAGACTCAGACAGATTTATTTTGTCATTTTTTATACATGAGTGTAAGAAATTTCGTTTAGAACAGCTCTCTAGAAAATTAATTTTTTTTAAAGTGCAGCCTTGATAAGGTAAGCTGATCTAAGCAGCAGTGATAAAAAAAAAAAAAATTAATTATTAAAATTAAAAGAAAACAACGGCTATTGGAGTTTAACCAAAAGTCAGCTGCTAGGGTTCTAACCAAAACCAAAATATCATGGAATGTGTAGCATTAATTGTGAACAAATTAAAAATCCTTTGGTCATGAAAGATCTGTTAACTCTGAACTAAACTGGTAAGCAGCATTTATTATCTTTGCTTTAAAGCTTTCAAAGCACTAATTAGTTGTTCGCTACTTTTATGTTTACAGCATATTTTAAGTAGTTTATTTCTTTTGTAGTGTTCCTTCCAAAAACATTTCCCTTTTGCAACAATGGTGATAAAAACTGGCTAACCTTTCATTGTCTGTAAACGATTTGGCTTGTTATGCAACAGGCGTAAGCAGTCAAGAGTGAAAATCTAAAATCAGCCAAGCTGATCACATTTTCCTAATTCTCTGCTCTGCAGCACAAGCTCCGTATTTATTCACTGCATAAGCCTCTATCAGTTTTCACAATATGGCAACGACAGATAAATTTAATTCATAGGCGATCAGAACATAATCAGAAGTCGTTTACATACCGAATCTATATTTATTGCTTCGAATTATTATTTGCATCATATGCTATGTCATACTCATATAGTTGTTGTCTGAAATATCTGATAAGAGCATTTTGTTTTATTTCCCTTCTTACCTGCAACACCTTTGATATTTCTTTAGGGACTATTTTTCAGGACATCCACCATACAGTACATCCAAACCTGCAGTCCAAGATAACACCGTCAATTTAGTGTTTTTTGTCTTGGAACACAGAGTTAAACCTGTCAACTTTGTTCAGAGTGTTTAAAAGACAAAAAGATGCTGTTAAGGGGTGACATATCAGAAAGGTTATGGCCTGTATCTTGAGCAGTAAATAATAGTATATAATAGCAGCAATAAATTCATGCTAAGTTTGAATATTTACCATTTTATACCTTTGAAGTTTCAGTTCCTTTTGAGTAATATCTATATCACTCAGCTTCAATAGATAATTATACATTTCACTACGCTTGTATTTTGCTTTAAAGAACTGCTTTTGGTTCATAATTCATACATTTTATGGAATGATACAACACTGATCTCTAAAATAAGTCAGCATGTTTTAGTTTATTCTGTTATGTCTGTATTTGACTTTTCCCCCTTTTGGGGGGGGTAACCTCAGTTGCAGCTGCATCAGGCCTTTAGTTACATATAGGCAAAAAACAGGGCGGGTCCAATAGGGGTTCGTTAGTTTGCAAATCTGTTTTTATATCCTTGTAGGCTGATCTTCCAGTATATAGATATTCCCTTTCTCTCATTCTGCTTGAGTTAGGGTTTTTTGTTATTTTGTTATTGTGACTACTTTTATGAACCCAAATTCTTGATTTTTGGAGGATTTTTTTTTTTTTTTTTGCCAGTTAAATAAAACCCATTTTTATATTTAACCTTTGTTTAGTGTTTAGCCCTTTGCAGATAGTCACCACATTTAATGGACATAAATCTTGTAGCATTTTTAGGAATTTTGTCTCAGTTTCATTTACTTTTACTATCCAGGGGGTTGTTTCATAACTGACCATTTTAATTGTTTTTCTCTTAAAGACATAAGGTTCATTTAGAGGTGAATTGGTTTGCTCAACTTATCATTCTTTATTAAAAGCTGACTGACTGAGGTCAAAGATCAGAAGTAAATAGTAATAGAGTATATTCTGGAATTAATTTACTCCACAATTCCTAGGAACATGGACTGAAAACCTGAATTATTATGCATTGTTGTGTCAATTATGTAAAGCTGCAAAGTTTTTATCAAAAGGTACATCTAAATCATCATACATGATACATCCACAGAACCTTAGAGTCATTCAAAATATTCCATTTACTGAGATTGAAGAAATGGGGGGCTGCATGGTGGAGCAGTTTGTAGCACTGTCACCTTCCTCCCACAGTCCAAAAACATCTCCAGTGTTACTCCTTTGGTGTATATGGATTTGTTGATTTATAATATGGGACATTGTTTTGTAAAATATCCTACATTGTGAGGACTTACAGGTTCTTATAGGGACATTTAACTGGTTCCAATTTGGTAAAGTTTTCTACTCTGGGTTGGGGTCAGGTTTAGGATTAGTGTGCGAAAACATGTGTATACAGAAATTGGTGTACAAATTGGAAAATTAGTAAATTAAACCTCCATAAATATTTTTTCCTAATAATTTAGTAGATTTATAGATTTTCCATATTTATTCATTTAAATATGTATAAACTGACATTGAAGGCATGTAAATGATTGTTTCCAACTTTTTGTCTGTGATTGATTATGGAGATATATTGTACATGCATGCTGCATCCTCCATATTGGGTCATATTGACTAAGTGTACCATGCATCATTACGATTCATTACAAATTCTAAGTCCTTTACTCATCACTGCATTCTTTATGAGCTAGTTGGTTGGACATCACTAACAATTCGTAGAAAACAGCACTGGTATATCTTTATTTATAAAGCAATACTTGGTAAACTCCCACTGTATCCTCCTCTCTGTGAGTTCTGGTAGTTATCAGTTGCGCTCCTCTCAGCGGTTACTTTTTAATGTACCCCGAGCTTCAACTGAGTTAGGAAAAACTGCATTCTCCTACTCTGCACCTTGGGGATGGAATAACCTCCAAAAAGAGCTCAAATTAGAAACTCTGGTGTCCATTAATGAATTTAAAGTAACCATGAAGAATGTAATGATGGAGATATGTGCTTTTTTTCCTGAGATGCTTAATGTGTTTTAACATACTGCTCTGATTTTATTATGAAAAATGTAATATGTTGTAAATATGTATGAACTTCCTGTGGTTTGGCTGCTACCTTGGCCAGGTCTCTCTTGAAAAAGAGATTCTGAATCTCAATGGGACTTCCTGGTTAAATAAAGGTTAAATAAAAAAATAAATAAATCTGAATTAATAATATAACTTATATGTATAGAATCTAGATGGACATTTCTCAAGTTTTTCTTTATTTTTAAAGATCCTAAATCATTTGGGAATAGTTTCTCAGAAATGTATTAAGATCTTGGTATGATGTGTTAAATTCCCAACCAGGAGAGGGCAGCAAAGTGTTGATTTGGTTCCCCATGCAAAAAAAGAAAGAGAACTTTCTTGACAGTACAGGTCCACAGCCAACTTTAACCTAAAATAAACTGTTTATTTTAACAGTGTGGTAACACTTTTACAATAGCAAAATGACAGAAATATACAACAGAAAAAAAGGAAAAACAAAGGAGTAAAGAAGCTTCTGGTTTTAGCTGTAGGTGTAACATTCGGCAACGCTTTTTCCTCTTGGTACAAATGTAAACAGACAGAGGACACTGTGAACGTGACCGAACTAACACAGGAGTCTGAGTGACAAGCTGCGGTAGAGTTTCAATTTCAAACAGTGCTTGGGGTCATATTCCTGAACCTAAATGTTGAAGAAGCATATCAGGATCACAGATGGCCTCCCAGAGGAGAAACACTAAGCATATCTTACTCAGATTTACTGTCAAACCTGACTCTTAAGCAATCTCACTACTTCAGCAAAATGAAAATAAATAACAGAAACTAACATAAGAGAGATTGGTGCATTTTATGTCCATGTTTACACTGCAAAAACAATCTAGAAATAGGTAAAGATTTCTTAAATTAAGTGTTTTTACTCTTAATTTGAGCAGGTAAGTAAGATGATTTGCCAATAGAATTACTATTTTTATTCTTAAAATAAGATAATTAGATAAAACTCACTTGAAATAAGACAATGCAATAGTTTTCTTCTCATTTTAAATGTAAATTGTCTTGTTTCATTGGCAAAGTGTCTCACGTACCTCCTCAGTTCAGGAAAAAATACACTTATTTTAAGAAATTGACTTATTAAGATTTAAATTTTTTGCAGTGTACTCAACACTGTGAAGATTTAGGCATGTCAGACAATTTAGGGGCTATTCTTTATTGGATGTACTGATATTTTGTCAGTTAGAGCCGTATGTTTACAATTCATCAGGACAATTTTTTAAATATACAAAAATAACTTTTAGAGTTAAAGAAATGATTCAGGTTGTTGGATAATTAAAAAAAAATATTCACAGCACAAGTTTTTAAAAAGCTTTTACACAGAATTTTTTTTGTAGTAAGACATTTAAAATTCAGTTAAGACTTACATAAGTGACTTTTTTTTTACATCAGGACAGACTAGAAAAGAGAACAGATCATTTTAAATAAAAATAAAAAAAAACAGAATAACACATAAGTACAATTTCAGATTTAGATCTAATCCGATGGAAGGGCTGTTCTTCAAGTTCATGAGTTTAACTTCCTCCCACTGAAATATAGAGGTAATGCAATGTGCGCTATTCCAAGTCTGAGGAAACTTCAGACTTTGAGAAAGTCTGGAAATCCACTGATCTTGATCACTTTTGACGGTTGATAATAAAATTTGTCCTTTAAGTAAAAAAAGAAATGGAAGGTAAAGGTTTTTCCTCCGTTCTAAATTTTAGTTTTTACATGTAAAGATTAGCGTTTAGCTAAACTTCTCAACTGGTGTTTTAATTTATTACACTAGTTAAATATTTAACCAAGCTTTATGTGTTTAACGTCAAAGGTTTCAGAACCCTAAAAACATAAATTTCAAAGACAAAGTCAGCATCTGAGTCTATTTACAAATGTACAACAGATACTAAAGTACCTTTGTAGAAATATTGCTCCAAATGATAGATTAAGCTGTAAATTAGTCTCGTAAGTATCACATATAAAGGGCATTTTTAACACATTATTCTGCCATAAAATTTCTATTTGTTTTTACATAATTATGTATTAAAAAAACTTTGAAAACAATAAATAATTTGGTAAGAGAAGCCAGTTGTGGAAATTAAAGAGGCATTACTGAATTTTCTAATGATACTGCCATCTGTGGCCAAAACACAGAACTGCAGGACTCTTCTGCCAGTTCTCATAGCTCACGCTCGTACTTGACAAGGTTTTATTTATTTTTCTATGTATTTTTTTTTCACCTTATGTGGAGTTGCCTTGGGTGTCTTAGTTGAGATGGATGCTGGTCACTTCTGAGTATCCACAAAATTAAGTTCGCTAGGTTGGACCCATTTAACATGAACATTCTTGACGTTCCATCCGCCCCACAGTGGATGGGACTTCCAATCTGAAGTAAATTCAGGAACATAGGACATCCGAATGTCTGCCCTAATCACTATATAGGGCACTATCTAGGGGTTACACCATTTTAAATGAGTGTCCGAATGTCTACTGGATGAAAAAGTAGTGGACGCGAGATTTCCTTGAAAAGTAGTGATCATTCATAGTCACTAGACGAGCAGATATATCCCAGAATGCTTTGGGAGGAGAGCTCTCCTCGCAAAGGATTATGGAATTTCTGCTTCCTGACAGCGGAGACAAATATCAAAGATGGCACATGCACCGTGCAGGGGAGGCAGAGTCAAGTGACTAACGGGGAGGGAAAAACAGTGATCCGAATGGTCAGTTAACTGAGTTCAATATTTGATTTTGATATACTCTAATAATCCCAGAGGGAAATTACTTCTCTGCATTTAACCCATCCCCTTGGGGAGCAGTGAGCTGCCATTGTGAGGTGCCCAGGGAGCAGGGTGAGGTTAAGGGTCTTGCTCAGGGACCCAGAGTGGCAGTCTGTGGGAGTGGGGGGATCGAACTCACAATCTCAGGATTGAAAGCCCTATGCCCTAACCACTAGGCTGCCACTCTAAGTCCACTTTATAGTCCCTGCTCTATAAAGTGATTGAGGGATTATAAGGGTTAGGGCGGACGTTTGGACACAGCCATAGGCTGCAGTCTTATATTTGCATCAGTGCTGAACTACTGAGGTGTCGGTCTGCTCATCAGACGATGTTTTAGTTGTAAACAGTCAAACACAAATGCTGTTTTTAAGATGTTTTTGAGTACAAACTTTTATAATGTCTCTTTAAAATACACATTTAAAATATAAATTTTCACAAGTTTTGGATTAGGACAAATGCTACTTTCAACATGTAAGGATTTTGAAGAGTGCAATATGAACTAAGAATTTTGGAATTAATTTCCAATTGTGAGTAACAGTGTTAGGATACCTTTTTTCCCCTCAAAAATAGCTCTCAGTTACATTTATTTTGAAAATTAAGACATCTACTATGGGTGGGTCTCCTAACCTGAAAGGGTTCAAAGTTTCTGAGAAAGTGTAGTATTTGTTCCTTTTGCTCAGTGATAAAACCCTGTAATCCACTTTTTCTGTAGTTTAGATTGTAAAATCTACGGGTTAACTAGTAGCTGGACAGTACTGTGTTTTACCAACAGCAGACCTCTGGTTGTTAGGGTCTTTAGATGCGTGGCCATTTTAAGACAAGAAAACTTGATCCATCAACGAATAGAGACTTGGAACCTCTGAGGTTTCTGAGCCTGGAGTAAATTGTTAGATTTGAACTTGCATCGATTTAAGAACATCTTTCTTAGATTTCTGAATACGTGAATTATGAATACATTACAGTATTACTGATATTCTAGTGCCACTGGGTGTAACATTGATTAGGATCTCCTATTTGTTTATCTCACAAAACGTAAATTAGCCATGTCAGCAAATGGGTTGAAAATATATAATACCTAGATTAACTGGCCACTCAAAGTGCATTTAAACTATAAATTATAACCATATATAACCACAAGTATAACAATTTACACATCCTAAAGGACAAAGCTTGGACTTAAATTCACAACCCACGTTTTCCAATGACTCAGAGCCGCCTCAATTTGATTTGATAGGGACATTTTCCCAGTCCAGGTTCTAACTACCAAGAAAAATGGAGTGACCAAGGCAATGACTTTCACCTTGTTTGCTTTTAGACCTGACAGAACGATGTTATGGGGTGCTAAGCCCTTTATTCACATCAGTTCCAAAAGCACGGTCCTTACTGATAGAAATAGACTTTTTAAAATAGCAGGTAGGTAATATGAAAGGACCCAAAATTTTTGAAGTATTTATATATAGTAAATAAGGTTATTGTATAAGGAGCTGAAGAATAAAAACAGAATTAACCACAATGCTTTACTTACATAAACATGTCACCAGAATGATTGACAATTAGGAGGACCACTTATTTAGATGATCCACCTGGAAAAGGAACATCCTCCCCTCTACACTTAATGTTTTATGGAAAATGTTGCAAAAAGATTATATCAGCAGGCATCTGGATTATTGACAGTAACCACCACTTCCAATAGGGCAATAACTCATCATTTAGACACAACCGCTTTCTATACATTATTGAATTATTTGGTAAAGTTAAATGGGAAACTCATGGTCCAGACTTGTATTACTCTAAAAGGAGATTTTGCTGCATATTGTTGATTGCTTTTTTTGGGGAATTTTTGGATATCATTTTTAAATGATCTCATATCTTCTTTAATAATCAGTACCACGAGAAACTTTAGCTCTGATTTTAACTTTAATTAAAACGCGCCTTTAATGGCCATGCCTTTAATCTTTTTAAGTGGCTGACAGAAAAGAAAGGTTTGGACACTTTGTATGTTTAAAGTTGGAAATCTGTAAACACTTGTTGAAATATATGGGGGTTTATTTCCAGGTAAAGATATACCAAGAGGAAAAAAATATCTAAGCAGTTTATCAAACAGGTGGCGCTCTCAGATATCTAATAAATGGGGCAGAATGTTATAACACTGCATTGGTAATTTCAACAGGAACAACAATCACATTCTGCACATGAGGCTCCTGACCACACTGGACCTCTTTGCAGTTTGTGTTAAAGAGTTCTTGGCTTGCTGCAGTTTGTAAAACCTCTTGCTCCATTTCATCGGCAAGGTCTGTATTACTTCCATAGAAAATCCCCAGCCTACGTGCAAGCAACCCTTCTTTCTCAGGAGGATCCTCACCTTTGTTGTTTCTACCAATCCTTTTCAATCTGTGCATAAAAGCAGCATGGCATATGCAGCGCTTCAGAAGGTATTTGCGGTAAGCTCGTTGAAGAACGACAGCCGCATGTTGCTCTTCCTTGTGCCGTACTGTTGTGGTAATTGGTGCAAAGGAGTCCTTCGTGGGGTTGCTCAGGACGAACTTGGCCTCAATGCTTTCCCGCATTGCTGCCATCTCCACCGTATCTCCTAATACCATCTGTGTGACAGCCATCAATACATCCAAGCAGTGGATCCTGTCCCCAATAACCAGGGGCAGATCCATTTTAATCAGATGATGCCGGTTGGGCTTGGCCACCCTGAGAGGCTCCTGCAAAGTATCACAAAAATCTGAAAGCTGGCTGTACTCAATAAACATCGTTCCATCCAAGTCAAATTTCTCCCAAGTTTCGTTGAACATCTCAAAGTCCTCCTCACAAAGTGGGTCACCGCTCTCTTCTTGAGCCACATTGAAGTTCTCCAAGATGATGGCAATGTACATGTTGACCACCACCAAGAATGAAATGATGATGTAGCTGCAGAAGAACATCATCCCCATCCCCGGGTTTCCACAGTTCCCCTTTACGTCCGTCCCTGGATTCTCAAATTCAGGGTCACAGTCTGGAGGTTCCCTGTTCAATATCGGAAGCATAAGCCCATCCCAGCCTGCAGATGTCGTAATCTGAAACAAGCAGATGATGCTGCCGCCAAAAGTCTCAAAGTTAAAAATATCATCAATTCCAGCTTCTTTCTTGACATAGGCAAAATTTGACATGCCAAATATAGAGAAGATGAACATAATCAGGAAAAGAAGTAGGCCGATGTTAAACAATGCAGGAAGGGACATCATTAGGGCAAAAAGAAGCGTCCGGATACCCTTAGCTCCTTTAATAAGGCGCAGAATCCTGCCAATCCTGGCTAGTCTGATCACTCTGAAGAGCGTAGGGGAAACAAAGTACTTCTCAATTAAGTCTGACAGCATTGTACCTGAAAAGAAAGAGAATATTAATTATAACATGCTGGTTCTGGATATGTTTAGAGTGAAAGCAATTAACATATCTTGCCCACCTGCTATTGACAAGATGACCACGATGAAATCAAAAACATTCCATCCATTGGTGAAGAAGTACTGCCTCAGCGCGAAGAGCTTCAACACACACTCTCCAGTGAAGACAACGATGAAGGCAACGTTTAACTTAAAGAGGAAATCCTCTTTCTCCGGGCTTTGGTCATCTGTTTCTACCATCATGGTCACCATATTGAGGCAGATTAAAACCATGATGAAGATGTCAAAGACCTGTTGACTGATGAAATCAAACACCATGCCCTGGACCGGGTTCTGCAAAGTCAGAGAGAGACAGAGAGGGTTAGCCGGCTTGTCCAAAAACATAACTGTTAACTCTCATCTCTAAATGGTCCAGTTGTGTGTGCATGGTTGTATGTCTCTGTGTTTCCCTGGCAACCTGTCTAAGTTGTACCCAGGTAAGTTTGAGAAGATGGAGGAATATATTTGATTTACTCTGACAGCAACCTTGCTTATGGTGTTATGTGACCATACCCACTGCCAAATAAGTCTGCCAATGAGCTCACAATGACCTTCAAATGGTTAACGCTTCCTCATGGACTTAATTATTTAGAGTTATAAAGCATATTTTTATTTAACACTTCCCAACTCTTAATAAATACAAGCATAATCAACAATATTATGGGAATGGAGTTATGTACTTGTATCATTTAACTTAATGTGGCATCTTACATCTTTTTAGCCACTGATCCACATCATCATCTGTCTAAATCTACAGCTTAAATCAAAGTTGAAAGGAAACAGTCAGTAAAAAGCAGGTCAGATGATGAAAAACAAATGTTGTTCTTTTTGTTATCTAATTCAGATGGTAACATTCATCATCTTTTATATTTTCAACCAACTTAAAAAATGTCTGATTTGATCTTTTACCAAACATGTTTGTATGGGTGGTTGAAAACATTGCAGATCATCTTTGTATAGCATACAAATCTCTGTGGTATAAAAATTGCTTTAGACTGTATTTTCCTCTATCAGATCTCTGCCATCACATAGAAAAAGATCACTTGTTCACAAAAAAATACTCCTGCTTGTAAAACAAGAGATTGAAAGCCTTTTGCAATTATATCTGCTGGTTGCACCCACTAAGTTCAGTCTAAACGTTTTGGACTGCAGTTTCTTCATGTACTTTTGTTTTTAGTCTCTTAAAGCTCAATTTCCATGATGTATCCTCCTGTCAGTTGTTATCTCTTAATATTACACAGTGACACCTGCTGGCCATGCTTGGGTCTGAGATGCACATGAAAAAGAACTGAACTAACCATGGCCTGTGATATTAATTGATTGCTCATGCCTGTAAGTGGCTTACAGACATGAGCAATGACCCTGCAGCTCTTACTTGCCTTTGGTCGTGGAATTGGCTTCTGTGGCTTCTTTGAACCGAGTTTCTTCATGGCCTCGTAGTATTTTTTCTGTTCATCTGTCATAAAAATGTCTTCATCTCCAAAGTGCAGACATAGAACAAAACAATAACAGATTTTTCAAATAAATCGTACAAACTCTAGCACAAACTCCTTTAATGAAAGTACTTATCTTTTTCTTTTGTTGGTTGAAATTGTCAATGATGACACCGATGAAAAGATTTAAGGTGAAGAAAGAACCAAAAATGATGAAGATGACAAAATAGATGTACATGTAAAGGTTGATTTCATAAGATGGTTGCTCCTCAACCTATATAGAAAAAATGTAAAAGCTTAGGCCTGAAACACAAACACCTGGAAGAGTGTTATGCAGATGTAGTTTTTTCTGCTCTCTGTGTTTTGCTTGAGATCTCACCATTGTTATGTGCTTCGGGGACATTAGGATTTTTGTCTATTTCTTTTCTTTGTTTTCTTACAGACTTTAGTTGAAGGATCTTTTGTTAATATATTTTGGGATTCTTTTAGCGAGTTAATTACATTAATTTGTGGTGCTGTCGTCCGCCTATAAATAGGCTGGCTTTCAGCATGTTGGGGCGTTCCTTTCCAACTTCGCTTGGACGCCGCTTTTCCACCTGCTTCCACTTGTTCCATCGTGCGCGGTGCGCACTTGTCTTGTCGCTGCGGCCTGCAGCGGACGTTCCAGCCTGCCATGCGGTATTTTTGTTAACTGTTTCTTACTTTTTTCTTGAGGTTTTTGGCCTGGCGGGACCGGTTGTCCTGTTTTCGATTTTTCTTTTGCTTAGGTTATTTTTGGCCTTTAGTCCGGTACTAGTAGGGGCTTCGACGGCCCTGTATAGGGTTGGCCCCCTGCTGTACCGTTTTATTCTGTTTGATCGGCCTGCCAGGTCCAACTTTCTGTTGTTACTTTGGGTTTCTATTTTTACTTTTTGGGGCACGGGATTTGAGGGCCTTTAACTCTTTTTCTCTTCTCAGAAAATCAGAAGAAGGCGAGCAAAGAAAAGTTAAAGAGGAGAAGATTTATTAATAAAATATCTTTTTTTGAACCCTCATCTTTTGTCTCGTGTCCTCAAATATGTTGTGTCTTTGGACGTAACACCATAAATGACACGCATTTAATAGGCTAAATGAGTGGGTATCAATAATTCTCAATCAATTTCTAAGGTAAATGTAATAGTCTTATCTTATATGTTTTGATATGTATAGAAATGTGGTTTTTTTTAACATAAAATCAACTATAAAATAAATTATCATTCTCTCTAAGATCAAATTCATTATAATATAATAAAAAAAAATACAAATTTTGTGATTGAGGGACATATTGGCTAATTAATGTAGTGCAGGAGGGGTTCCCTCTCTGGATAATACAAACTGTACCATTCACTGAGTGGCGCTAAGCATCAAACCAACACCAAAGTTTGCAGTTATCTAACATAATAAAAATAAAAAGTCTGTGGTGCAAAGTGAGACTTATCACGGCAGAATATGGCCTGTTGATCAGGGTGGATTCTGAGTACAACATTCAAGTTTGCATTTCAGGGTAATGGATATTATATAAAATTAGAAAATTATATTTAAAGTGAGAAAATGTTGAGAAAAATAGGACTTAAACTAGGTTCAGAGATATCACATGCAGGATAAGAGTTCAGTTTGACCCTGAACTAAGGATGCATTGTTAAAAAACTGTGGTGTTTTATGTAATACCAATGTATACATAACAGTGAAGGTTAATACCTCTCTTGAGTCAACAGCAGCATACATTATGTCCATCCACCCTTTAAAAGTTGCCTGGAATCAGACAGAATAATCTTAAAATATTTGGCCCCAAAAAATCAAGACAAACATTTCCCTTTAAAAGGAAACAATACAAACAAAAAAAAAAAAAAAAAAAAACGATCCTCACCACTTGAAGCAGGGAGAGGTAGCCCGTGCCAACATTGTCATAGTTAATTTTGACGTTAACCCATCGAGCTTCTTGTGTGGCTTCTTGAAGGGCCAAGCACTCACTTCGATTGTTGACCTCAGATATAGGGAAAAGCTCCTCTGTGGTGGTGTTTATGCATCGATAGAACTTCCCCGCAAACAAATTAACCCCCATAATGCTGAAGATGAGCCAGAAAATCAGACACACCAGGAGTACATTGAAGATGGAGGGAATCGCTCCAACCAGAGCATTAACCACTACCTGCACAAAAGAAATACCTTATGTAAACTATACAGAAATGTCAACAATTAGAACAGCAACTATTGTGTTGTTAAGACAAAGAAACAAATATTTGAAGTTGTTTTGAACTAACCTCAAATTAGTTTTTACTACTACAGCAAACAGCCATGTTGTTAGTAAGCTATTAACAAGCAAAAAAAGGGGGCAACCAATCAGTGTCCTACAACAGTGCAGTCAATATAGCAAAGTTTTGTTATTTTTAGACATGCAGTCAAATGAAATGTTAACGTTGAAACTCAAAATGAAAGAGCATACCCTCATTCCTTCAAATCTTGACAGCGCTCGAAGAGGCCTTAGCGCTCTGAGGGTTCTCAGGGATTTTATCGGACCAAGATCAGAGTAGCCAATCCAGTTTGCAACTAAACTAATCAAGGAAACCTGCCAGCAAATAAAAACATTTCCTATTCAGGGGTTAGCATAGACTTAAACTGATGTAAATCTTGACTATATATATTTTTTTCTGTTACAAATTGTGTAAGCCAACTTTGGAACTTCCCAAATAGACTTACATCCACGATGAAGAAGTCTAACCAACACCAAGCGTTGGTGAAATAGGCCTTGAAGCCGTATGCGACCCATTTAAGGAGCATCTCAATGACAAACACGTAGGTGAAAACCTTGTCTGCATATTCAAGAATTATTTTAATGGTTCGTCGTCTTTCTATGTATATATCTTCAAAGGCCTGTGAGAAAAAAGAGCATCGTCTGAATGTTCTATGAAAAAATAAAGATTTCTGGATTACATAGTGGGATGACTGCTCTCACCAGAGCGCCGCTGCTGAGGAGGATCATGAAGATGATGAAGGTTTCAAACCAGTCATGCTCCACTATGTTGAAACACGTTTTTCTAAGATTCCACCATTTTTTTCCTTTGCCACTGGTTATATCCACAGTCAGACATGGCCATTTGCTCACACAGTCTAAAGAATAGGAGAAAACATGGTATTTTTCATTAAGTGGCCTGTTATGATTTTAAATTTATTGACTAAGCTATTCTTATGAGTGTTTGGTCATACTCTCAGTGAAGCACGCCTCTGGCTCCGGTGGTTCCGGTTCTTCCTCCTCCTCTTTTTCAGGCTCAGGCTCCGGCGGTTGATAGTCAGCTGTGCTGCAGACTGAAGAATCCCCGTCATCATGCTCATTTATGGTAAAAAGTAAAGAATTGCATTAGTATCTATCTGGGCCCCAGTTGAAAACAATAATAAACAGAGTTACTGATATAGACCTTCTTACTTTAGTTTTCTCAGGAACACTAGTTTCTTCTTCTAGGGTTTTCTGGAATAATTTCTAAACAAAAGATACAATAAAGATATCAGAAGACATGTCTGTAAACAAATCCCTCAAATTAAAGTGTAATTATTATTATTTGCTTGTGTCTTACTGTGTTTTCCTGATCGTCTCTCTGCAGTGGGCTCTCAGAAAGATCACTATCTTCTGTATCGTCTTCATCATCCTCATCATCGTCACTCAGATTGTCATAATCAGATTCTCCTTCAGCAATTGGCACGTTCAAAGTGAAATCTTCATCCACAGTGAATCCTGTGGGTTGGCTTTGCACTGGGTCATCTAATATCCCATCAGGGGCTTTAAAAGCCAGACTGGAATCAAAATGGTTCATTTCAACTTCCTCACTTTTATTCTTGACATCATCCATGATGTCCTTATCAGTGTCCTTGAATCGTTTCCCAAGTACATGCTGGATTCGTTGTACGATAAATCCTTTTAACCACTCAATGCCTCGTGAGATCCTCCCAATAGCAATCTGTAGATTGTTCATCTCTCCGTCGTCATCCACCGCTGAGAGGTTGTCTCCACTGAATGAACTGAGTAGCAAGGCCAAGAAGAGGTTCAACACCTGAGAAGAAAGATTGATGGGTTTAATGCTTTGAATTACAATTCTGATCATTCACACATAAACACAGGAGGATTAGATTTCATCTTCATACAGGTCTCTGTTATTAGAAACAGAATTCTGGTCTTGTTTGGAATCAGGTCACACAAAAAACCCGTTGCTAGCCTGCTAATGTAGACATACCTATATCTCGAAAGTATTCACTCTAATGATCTCTCTTCCTGTTTAGCAGGTTATTAGAGCTACATGGCTACAGAGCTACAACACAAGCACACCAGGCAAATAAGACATTTGGTAGAAGACTAAATACTAAAAATAAGAGTAAAGGGAAGTACAGATTCATTTTCATGCTCACTGTACATTGTTTAGGTATAACTGAGGCTACACAAGCTCAGTGGCAAGAATGTTCTGGGTTCGATCCCCGCCCGGGGTCTTTCTGCATGGAGTTTGCATGTTCTCCCTGTGTGTGCATGGGTTCTCTCCGGGTACTCCGGCTTCCTCCCACAGTCCAAAAACTTGACTGTTAGGTTAATTCTCTAAATTCTCCTTAGGTGTGAGTGTGTGCGTGAGTGGATGTTTGTCCTGTTTGTCTCTGTGTTGCCCTGTGATGGACTGGCGACCTGTCCAGGGTGTACCCTGCCTCTCACCCATTGACAACTGGAGATGGGTGTTAGAAAATGAATAAATGGATGGATGAGGCCACACAAGGATAGATTGGGGTGAACTCATGCATTGTGCATTGTTTCAAACACCATTTTGGAGGAATTCCATGAATAAAACAGGAAGTTCTAACCGAAAAATGGACCCAATAGAGGGTGTGATAAAGTAGCTCACTGGTGTAAGTAAATAAATCTTCAATCCAATAAGAACAATTAATGAAACTGCATGAATTCATTACTTTAGTATTTATATCCAGCCTTCATATTTCAATAGCATGTCATTAAAATATGTCATACTTTTATTCCTGTTTATGGGGAAACATGATTTATTTCTGCATCAGTTATAATCAACCCTGCTATCAAATGACTTTAGCTTTGCCCCCGGTAAGCCCCTTTGCCACCTGAGCTTTGCTCGCTCAGCTGTTGGTGTTTGCTCCTGAAGCAGTAGCCGGCTCACTTGAATCTCAGCAAATGCACAAGGTCAAGACCTCAGTTTGCAGGTTCAAGTGGTTGAATCAACATAGAAGTTCTGCCTTTATTTTAACTATTCACCTTTAATTTAATGCAGATAATTTGCATCTTGTGTTGAATGCGAAGATGTAAGGCACCCAGAAAACTGTGTTTATGTTTGCAAGACATAGTTGACCCAATACTTCAGTCAGAGCTTGACGATGAGCCATTTCCTTTTTATTTCTATGAATAACCTGAGAGGAAATTGTTTTGGCCCTCACAATAAAATATGATCCTGTAATGATGTCTGACAGTGATCCTCTACAGGGCCTTAATACCCAAAGCAAAGATAAAAGGTCAAAGCCTGAACATAGATGTTTTATTTTCAACATAAAATAAAATTTTAATCTGTGTTGAATGCGTTTCTTAAGTAATTGTTAGCTTATGTATTTTATAAACGACTCAGTTAAAATATGTAGTTCATTTTATACTTTCTTTACATAAGAAAACAGATTGATCCTTGCATACAAGCTGTTCATGCAACGGCAGCTTGGGGTTAACGATCCAACAGAAAGACAAGTTGTCCACAAAATCTTGTATTTGTGGTATTAATATAAACTAACACTGACTTTAGAGAACTATTACAAAACAATTGGGCAACTAAATATCTTTACAGGAGTCAGGGGCGGATTTAGGAAATTTGGGGCCCTAGGCAAAGACAGGTATGGGGCCCCCTGAATCGAGAAGACGACATATAAAACAGACCCATTGTACAGATACAGAAATTTTAATAGAATAGAGATACAATATTAGTTCTAGATTTTGTCCCTCTCTTTTGTTCCCTTTTCTTGTTGTTTTCCTCTCTATGTTTTGTACTCAGCTGACTTTTCATGCTGCCTCAAAAGAAATGAATTTTTTTTCCAAGCACTAAGCTCACTTAGCTAATAGTTCCTTCCTGTGTTTCCAAAAAAGACGACGGCAAAAGTAAATAACCCAGTCCATCTTTTCAGAGACACTAATATTACCGGTATAGGCATTTGGATTGCATTTTAGCAAAAGGATTTTCCTTAAAAACATAATTAATGTTCACAAATAAGGAATAGTTGTATTAACCATACATTAAACAGAGTTTCATAGGACCCCCAGTAACTGGGGGCCCTAGGCAACTGCCTAGCATTGCCTAAATCCCCCCTGACAGGAGATACAGTGGCTCATATTTTGGACCTCAGAGATACAGCTTAGTTAGTTGAAATTAACTTACAATTTCACTTCACAAATGTATTATTACTGTCAGAATAACATATCCAGAATAAATAATATATTTGTCAAACTGGCCCTCATTGCAACCAAAAAAATAATAATAATTACACCTCTACAACATAAGCGTCGTTAGACCTATTTAAGGGTGGCTTCAGTCAACCTTTCTTTGGCATTAGCCACCCTATAATTATTTTGCGATTTAAAAAAAATATATATTTTTTTTCTGTATTTATTTTTTCCTCATATTTTCCCAAAACAAATGCAGTAAAGCACCGAATAAAAGCCATAAAGAAGACAAGTTAATCTGAACAATCATAGGCGTAACTTCCTTAAGGACTGGTGTGGACATGTCCCCACCAATATTTTGTACACGTATTTTGCTTTCGGTGCTGTGTATATCTGATTAAAACCCCATTCATGCCGCTCCTCAGAAAGAAAATAAAAAAAAGTTCTCCCCGCTGCTCACCGTCCACAAACCCCGACAAAAAACTCAGAAAAAAGAATCTGTTGCCTCTCGCTTTCTCCCCATCACCCCCCTCCGCCCTCTCCCCATAACATTTGAATTGAAGATATCCGCGGGTGACGGGTCGGGTTCGGTAGTCATCCTAACGGGTTCGGGCGGGTGCGGGTTGGTAAAACTCGACCCATGCAGGTCTCTAAGCTACACTACATTCAGTATCGTTGCCATAGAAACAGACAACAGCGCCAATATATCAGAATTACTAAAACACACGCAAATAATTTCCCACATAAAAAACAGGACTTTCAGTCCATTACAGTTTTCCGTTTTTAGAGGGTTGTTTATTTTGCGTTTATTAAGTGATGGCTGTGGTATATTAGCTTTCACTGCTATAAGCTTTCGCAGCAGTGATTGATTAATTTAAACACCTGCTCTACTGATGGTCTATCGGAGTTGGTGTTTAGGTTGAACATAAAGAACACCTTTTATTTGAAGCTTCCTGTAGCTACTGTTTTAATCCCGGCTTTACTTAAAACTTTTTCCTGACTTTGATAGTGTTGCCATTCAGTAGCAAGCACTGCGCCCCTTTTTCTTTTATATGTACACGTACATTTAAGATTTAGCGTGTTATGTTGACAACTCATGAGCAAGCTGCTTTTTGCAATCTAGCAGGAAGGTAAGGATAGGATCTTGCAGGTGTGACGTCACTCTGCAGGGGGTCCAAAGATAAACGATTTAAACAATTTTGGCATTGGAATTTCAGATTTAAGGGAGTTAGAAAGTTCACTTAGTAAAAGTGCAAACAATAAATCTGATTACCGATTACTTTTAAGCTGGTTGAACATACTGCGACAGACTGGTGACCTGTCCAGGGTGATCCCACCTCTCACCCAGAACGTGGCTAGAGATATGCAGCAGCACCTCCTGATCCCACTGAGGGATAAGGTTAAAGAAAATGGATGGTTGAACATAGTCCGCTCTCCCAGATTCTATCAAATCAGTATTGATACCCTCAGGGGCGGATTTAGGAAATTTGGGGCCCTAGGCAAAGACAGGCAGGGGGCCCCCTGAGAAGTAAACCCATAAAACAGACCCATTCTACAGATAGAGAAATGTTAATAGAATAGACATCCATTATTTGTTCTAGGTTTTGTCCCTCTCTTCTTGTCCCTTTTTCCTCTCTATTTATCAGCGTTCTGATGGCATTTTAGCCAAATAATTTTTATCAAAAACATAATTAATGTGCACAAATAAGGATTAGTTGTATTAACCATACATGGAAACAGAGTTTTATGGGGCCCCCAGAACTTGGGGCCCTAGGCAACTGCCTAGTATTGCCTAATGGTAAATCCCCCCCTGGATACCCTGCTAGTGGATGTTCTTGACAGAAAGACGGAGTTGCTTAATCATATTCTGCTTAAGGCCCCATAAGATCTTGTCCGAGTCCTGGTTTAAAAGTAAATTAATTTTAAAAAGTGACCCAAAATTGACTGTCAATAAATGTTCTACAAAATTTATATATTTATTTGATTTCTTTGATTTGTACTGTCTGTTTAGATTTATGTGATATTTTTTGCACAAAATATATAAGTGAATATTGTAACAGTTATGTTTTCAACTGTAAGCATTAAATTGATAAATGTTATTCGCATTTTTTTGGCTTTATCCTTTCCAACAAAAAAAAAAAGGCGTCGCGCAGGGACCTCCCATTCCTTATGAGCCGTCCCCACCAACTTTCAACACAAAGTTACACCCTTGTCTTAGACAATGCCTTAGCAGGTGCACTGAAAAAATTCGGCGCGCGCATTATCTTCTAGGGGCTGAGCCACCTTGTCTCTTAAACCTAGAGACGCCCCTGCTCTACAATCTGCATTTTTCAGACTTAAAGCAAAATTATTTTTGGGCTGTTTAACTCACCACTAGATTTCCAATGACCATGACCATCATGAAGACGATTAAGCACATCGCAGGTCCGGCCACTTCCATGCAGTCCCACATGGTCTCGATCCACTCGCCGCACAGAACACGGAAAATGATGAGGAAAGAGTGGAAGAAGTCGTTCATGTGCCAGCGTGGCAGCTCACAGTCTTCAGAGATCTTACAAACACAGTCCTTGTAGCTCTTTCCAAAGAGCTGCATGCCCACTACTGCAAAAATAAAGACGATGATGGCCAGCACCAAGGTCAGGTTTCCCAAAGCTCCCACTGAGTTACCAATAATCTTGATAAGCATGTTGAGCGTGGGCCAAGACTTTGCCAGTTTGAAGACACGAAGCTAACGCCATCAGAAGACAGAGAAACAGAATGTTACTGGAATGACAAATTATTCCTAACTGCACAGTCGTTGAGTAGTTATGAGCTATGATTATCATTTTACTAGTAAGTAGCATTCAGATAGAGCTCATTTTGAAGAATAAGTGGCAAACCTATTGTTTTTTTTTTTTTTGTTGAAATTGGAGTTTTTAAATTGTAATTATATTCATGAACATGATTGTTAACCCACTGTATAAAGCCTGAAACTCAACAATATTTCTGATATTTTGAACTGAAAAAGCGTCCTGCATGGGAAGCGAAACGTCTTCCAACTTGGAAACAAAGTCCAGTGGATTGTTTTTTTACTTTTTTCGAATGACTATGACCTGGATGACTGAGAATCTTCACCAGCATATTCATGAACATATTAGGGAAAAATGGGTAAACGCTGCATTTGTAATTTGAAATGTACAAACAATGTACCGAAAATGAAAATCTAAAACACAATTTAGCATTTGTCACCAAATACAATTGAAATGGCTGAAAGAGCATAAATTAAATCAACTGCTGTTCTTTAACTTTTGGGAGACAATAGATTTATTTTGGCAGAATGAGGCTGAAAATTGGACGCAACACCAATGGCGTAACGACACAACAATAGTAACCTGACTCATATCCATATCCATATCCATCTGGAAACCTTCCGTTGAAGTAATTTTGGGAAGGGGCGAAAATACTGGTTAGCTGATTGGCCTATGTTGGTGATAGACGGGCCAAATAAACCAATCAGATCAACGAAGCATATGATGTACTAACAGAGCGACGACGAATACACAACCACAAGCCAGGCTACTTTTGCCGAAACTAGTCTTGAGAAGAGCAAAAACATCTTTTCCTCTGAGAAAAGCCTCCAGAGCAGTGTTTTGCTCTTCTTTCAGTGAAGAAATACTCTGTAATTCCGATGAAACTTGCTCGATAGCCAATCTAACGCTAGTTTCATCGGCTGAAGCCGCCATGTTCTTTAGACTGAACTGTCGCGCTTCTCGTTGCGTCACACCTCAACCCGCCTCAAAGCCAACGCTGATTGGACGTTCGTTTGGTGAACGGCTCCAAATTTTCTTTAACGGAGAGTCTCCAGACTGATCTGCGAGTGAAACCTTGAAAGCTCGCGAGATCAGGATGGTCTCACGAGGCTACAACAATTTTCTTTACTGGAATCCGCTTAAGTTCCTCTTTTTGGTATCCATCGTCGCTAACACATTGTACGTGACGGTTATGGTTTTAATCTACGCTCTGGATAATGCATAATTCCAAGTTGTATTGTAACAAATAAAATACTCAAATACGTTGTTCTTTTAAGATCTTTATTGCGGTTTGATACATATTATATGAGTGTATTTTTTACTAACCGTCTAACGAACTATGTTCAGTAATTAACATAGTAATTAAAAGTACCACTGTCTGCTTTGCTACTGGTGTTGTGTTTAAGCTGCTCACCATCCTGTTGAAATCTCCCATATGTTTGGATATAAATAATGTCTGGTCAGTCAATCTAGTATCAAGTGGGTTTAAAAGGATTTTTTTGCACCACTACAACTGCAAAGAGACGTCCTAGTCCACAATTGCGTAGGGGACCCACCAGGTGTCAGTGACGGGGCACCTAAGAAGTTGGGGGCCCCTAAGCAACTGCTGTCCCTGCTTACCAATAGTTACGCCATTGGGCACCACACATGTCCTGCAGGGACGCGACAGTTAACAGGTTAAGCTACTGCTTGCTTTGTGGATTTATACCGTAAGTTAATTCTATTTATTTTTGGCTTTTAATCAATAATTTTCAATTACACAATAAATGGTTAAAATTTGATGTTATACTGTTTGGCAAAATTAAGTAACATTTTCCATGTTAATTCTTTCATTATTATCCTAAAAAAATAATAATTCTGTTTTTAACAGCATTTTTTGCTTCACTTTCAGTTTATGTTCTTGATGTGTCAATAGAATTGAAAGAATGAACTATGAAGTTAGTGGTTGATCTGATCTGCACTGTCTTACCAAACGGAAAGATCTTAGGACAGACAACCCCTGGACGTTTGCCAGTCCCAACTCCACCAGGCTGAGAGTGACAATTATACTGTCAAAAATATTCCAGCCAACTTGGAAATAATAGTAGGGATCCATGGCGATAAGCTTGAAAAACATTTCAGCTGCAAAAATCCCAGTAAAAACCTAAAAGAAAGTATAGATAAACTTCAAAAGATGGAAAGGTGCTGAATTATTCCTCTATGTTTAAATGTGATAAATACATACCAGATTTCCAACTGAAAGCATATCATTAAACTCTTTTGTCATAGGGTAGTGCTCCATCGCCATGAAAAGGGTGTTGAGAACGATGCATATTGTAATAGCGAGGTCAACAAAGGGATCCATCACCACAAAGTTTACCCACTTTTTTAAAACAACCCAGGTGTCACAGCAATCCCACTTTAAGAACATGTCTGCAAATTTGTACCAGCATGGTGGGCAGGGTCTCTGAGCTTCCTCCAGCTCTAGAAAACAAACGAGAAAGAATAATCTCAAAGAAAAGAGGCTATTATGCACACTGTATTTATACTCTATCTGCACTATATGGCAGCCATATTGGCAGCTACTTTACTAGGCTAAAATAGCCCAAGCTTAACACCAGAAGGGCATGACACTAAATGCTGATTGGGATTTACGAGGGATACAGCATGATTAGCCCTCAGCGTGTAAAGCCAAAAACAACGCTGATCTTATCTTGAAATAAATAACAGTGTTAAAACGGTTTGATAATCTCAGCCAGTAGAGTGGGGTCCTAAAAACTGACATAGTTGTCTGGAGGACTGTATTCTGGGTCTTGAAACTACTAATTAGGGTCTGCAAATTATTTCAAAAAGTAAATGTAAAGAAAAAATGTAAAATACAACAAAATAAAATATGTTTGAAAATATTTAATAGTGTCTTTATTGTAATTGATCACTTGTTAACAGACCTATTAGGAAAAATATCCAGTTACAGCACCAAATGTTTTAATCTTCTTAAAGGAATAGTACACCCAAAACATGATTAGCCTTCATTTTCTACTCACCCCCATGCTGAACAACACTCTGGAGTACTTTTTTGATATCTCAAATGCATCTAGAGATCTGGGAGGCTTCTTGCTGTCTGCTGACATTCAAATAATGGAGGTCTATGGTGCCCGAGGCAGAAAGGTCCATAAAAGTCCACAAAAAACGTGTCAATATTTCTCCATACTGCTCGTCCAATGTATTCCAAGTGTCCTGAGTGGGTAGCGTCCATAATTTACTCGAAACGAAGTCATTTAGAATGTTTTTAGAGCATAAACAGCAGTGTATAGGATTTCCTAAAAGCGCGTTCACGAGTCTACGGAAACCGCGGCAGACCAAACCAGATGAAAGTGCGAATTCACCGTCTGCTCTGCCGATAATGCAAGCGTAGAAGAAGAAATGTGCTGTTTACCTGTGCAAAGAAAGAAACAACGAAAGAAAAATGTCTGAGGACTTCAGTGTTGAGGAAGAGCATGAGTTCTTTGCCGAGCTGAATGCGCACTTTAGTCTGGTTTGGTCTGCCGCGGTTTCCGTAGACTCGTGAACGCGCTTTTAGGAAATCCTATACACTACTGTTTATGCTCTAAAAACATTCTAAATGACTTTGTTTCGAGTAAATTATGGACGCTACCCACTCAGGACACTTGGAATACATTGGACGAGCAGTATGGAGGAATATTGACACGTTTTTTGTGGACTTTTATGGACCTTTCTGTCTCGGGCGCCATAGACCTCCATTATTTGAATGTCAGCAGACAGCAAGAAGCCTCCCAGATCTCCAGATGCATTTGAGATATCAAAAAAGTACTCCAGAGTGTTGTTCAGCATGGGGGTGAGTAGAAAATGAAGGCTAATCATGTTTTGGGTATACTATTCCTTTAAGCAGATGTCCCCAGAGTGAAGGGGAGTGTGCCACCCAGGAGGGGGGCAGTGTAATAGCAGGGGGCACAGTGGAAATGAATTGAAAAAATTACCCTTTTTCTTTTTAGATGTATTACTAAAAAAGGTGTATTGAGAGCAATGTAGAATTTTTTTTTTTTTATGAGATATAAGTTCTCTTATTATAATATGTAAAATTGTACTTGAGATTTGACATACCCCCCCATTAAAAAATATATATAAATTCACACTAGTAATTAAAATATCACTAAACTTAAAAAGAAAGGTAATTTAATAAAAAAAATATTTATTTTGAATTTTCTTTCCAAAAATAATTCTAAAAAAACAAACTGTCCCAGACAAATTACAATACTTTACATGAACAGTGAACCAACATACCTGTCAGGAGGTACAGAACATTCCTGAACGTTACAGAAAACACCAGATTTCAGAGATTGCCTCAAAGTGTTGCTCAACAAAATTTCATTCACCTTGTTTACCTGTTTTATCTATTATACATACACATATATGTATGCATACAGATAGATAGATAGATAGATAGATAGATAGATAGATAGATAGATAGATAGATAGATAGATAGATAGATAGATAGATAGATAGATAGATAGATAGATAGATAGATAGATAGATAGATAGATAGATAGATAGATAGATAGATAGATAGATACTTAAATAAAGGGGTAATTGAAAACATTTGTGTGAAACCTGGGGGCCTAGCAAGAAAACTGTTGGAACTGCTCTACTAAAGGAACTTTAAATACATCTGCAGACTAAAAAATATAATGTTTATGTATTATGTGGGTCTGCTGTTTGCTTCATTTTAGCACTTTACCTTCTACAGCAGAGAGCACAGTCGCAGCACTGGAAGATCTCTGTTTTAAGCCAGGTTCATTCAGATGAAGGGTGCTGTGCACCGAGCTCAGTGACTTCTCTTTGTCTTCATAACATTGAGCAGACTATGGAATATTTCAAGAAATTCTTTAAATTATGTAAAATGAACAATTATAAGATCTCACTCCGTTCTGGATTAATTTTAGAGTAACAACCAACCTCTTCCATGGTGGGAGCTCGGATCATCAAGCGAGGAATAACTCTTCCGTTGCAATCATTCACAGTCTCCCCATGTTTGAGATCCTGTTCATCTTTTTCCAGCACAGAAAATGTGTGTTGACTTAAAGACTTCTTACTGGTCAGAGTAGCTCTGCTTCCATAAAACTGCACCTGCTGATTTACATATTAAACTTTTAAGTGAACTGAAAACATTGTGATTTAATAACTTTATAAAGTATTGCCTGGCTGTAAGTGGCCATATGTAAAAAGAGCTTACACATAAAGACTGAACTCTTACCCAAAACAATTATATTTCTACTAAAAATATGCATTTCTCAACCAGATGGAGTCATACATTTTTAAAATAGATTTTATATAACTTTGAGGTATTATAAACAGTCCCAATAGCGTATAGAACATTTACCCAATGAGGCCTGCATAAACTAAAACCAGCATGTAGTGTTAAAAAGTCTGGTCAGCCTAACACATTCTGTTGAGACAAATATTCTTTTTATTTCTATCCTTACATTCTGTCAGAAAAATTCTTCTGCAAGGTTGCACTGTTGCTTTTTTTCCTTCATATCAAGAGATTTGAAATCCAATGCAATAAACTGCCTCAGAACTAACAGACTACAACATTCTTCTGGACATAAAAAAAGCAACAACTTCAAAACAAATGGTTAATAAAGAACCCAGCAGCAGACACAAATATTTGTTTCGGTAAAGGAACCACGCTGTCTGACTTTAAAAAGTGGTCTCTCTGTTCCTTTTGTATCACGTCCATATTTGCATTACAAGCTGAAAAATCAACGCTTCAGGGACTTTCCTCATTTTCATTTCTTCCTTATTTTGTGTATTTAAACTCGGAGGAAACATGAACAGTCATCTCATTTGAAACACTTAGACCTATAAAAAACATGCATTTGCACACTAGCAAGCCATTGCATATTATACATTACAAGAGTACATGGTTCTGTCTCATGTTTTCCCCTTTAAATGCCCTCTACAAAGGATGTAATAAATGGTATTATGTATTTTCATGAGCCAGCAGATCAATTTTATTCTTACTTGATGGTTAATATTCACAAGCAGTGAGAAATTAATAAAAAAAAAAACAATGCAATTTCACCCAGGCAGAAATAGATGTGTTGCTGAATGAGATGAAGTTACAGGAGTGGTGTGTCAGATAAAAGGAAGAGTTTTAATGCAGCAATACATTAACAATCTGATGTATGAAATAGTTATATTAATATTAACATTATTGTGATTAGCGCTGGCTGCGATACCCCAGACCTACTGTATGGATAATTTTACAGAATTATGTTGTGTCTAAAGAGGTTGCAGACATAGTTAAGTGTTAATTATACTTAATATTTACCTGCAGGCTAGTTCTCTCTAACAAACCCAGTTGCTTTCTGGCAAATGGGTCCACAAGTAGGTAAAGAATGTAATTTTGAAAAATTTAAACAAAAACAAAAAAACAAAAAAATTGGGCCAGGCAAATGTGTTAATTTAAGCAGGTTTTAGTCATTTTGAGTTCGTCTGTTATCATTTATATTAAGTCATAATTCTGCCAAAAGGCCAAATGCACAATAAATACTCCTTTTAGTATTCAAATCAGGATCCAACATGTTAATATCAAGGTGTTTCTGAAAAAAGTGGCTAGGTGAGAGAACTAAAGGACACAGTTTATTGAAAATATACTATGGCTCTTCATGGATCTATTTTTACCTTCTGGAAAAAATCTATAGTTAATGTTTTAGAGGAATATGTCTTGCTGCAGTTACCTGTTCTTGATTTCTGAGCTGTTCTAAAAGCTGCTGGAACTCTTTCTCTTTTTCGATGGCCTCTAGTTGAGTTGCTTGATTCTGCTCATAATAAGCCATGGCAACCACAGCCAGGATGAGGTTGATGAGGTAGAAGGAGCCCAAGAAGATAACCACCACGAAGAACAGCATGTATGTCCTACCAGCTGCTCGTAAAGTCTGTTTTTACGAGAAAAGAAGCTACAAGAACTTAACAAAATGTTCTCACTTATAAATATAATCAACTATAATCATAAGCCACAAAGAAAAACAACATGAATTAAGTTCCAACCAGTTGAAAAAGGTTCTCCCAGAAGTCCTGCGTCATGAGTCGGAACAGAGCGAGGAAGGCCCATCCAAAGGAGTCATAACTGGTGTAACCATAGTTAGGATTCCCTCCAGCCTTCATACACGTGAATCCTTCAGGGCACTTTCTATCAACAGGGAAAAAAGTTAGCCAATGACAATCAATATTTTCTTGCACATTTCTGATTTGATTTTATTAAAATAGAATTTCATTTTACAAAGTTTGACAGATTTGCCAAACATTTGCAGGAAAACAAAAGCATACCCAGCATCAGAGCTGTTGCCACAAATCAGAGCATCACGGCTGCCTTCAATAAAATACTGATTGTCTGTAGGTAAAGAGAATAATAAAGTTAACTCTATTGTGAAGCAGCATTTCCTTTGGAATAATGACTAAAACAAAAGACAAGCATACCTGGGTTTTCAATATACTCCTTAAAATCAAAAGTACTGTTAGAGTATAACGACGCATTGACATCCACAGTAAAGTTGAAGTACATTGGGTCGTTAAAAGCAGAGGTAGAGTTGAAAACTCCTAACACTGTCTCGTTTAACGGAATGGGCCATCGCACGCATTTTTGACGCAGGTTTCCCATGAAAAGCTGAAGGCCGACGAGGGCAAAAACTGCAAGGGCAAAGACGGTCAGTACCATGACGTCCCCCATTTTTTTCACAGACTGGATTAAAGCGCCGACAATCGTTTTTAGACCTAGAAAAAAAAAACACAATCACATAATGTTGCTGGATAAGAAACATCTAAATAGTTCTCAGAAATAAAGACAAGTTAAGAATTAAAGAAGTTAGTTTACCAGGTATTACGGTAATTGTTTTTAGGGCTCGAAGTACTCGAAATGTCCTGAGGGCTGACACATTGCCAAGGTCAACAAACTCAGTGACGTACCTAGAAGAGATTTAAGAAAATAGTAATAACACAACAGAATAAAATTACAAAAGGCATAATTTCCAATAATGTTTTAATAGTTTTACTTTTTGCAATATATAACAGAAATCATTGCAAAGTTAATTTTAGTAAGATACAAATTATGTAGTATGAATCTCCTACCAGAAGCAGCAATGGTTGGAAAGTTTTGACTGATGATTAGTAAAACTTGATTCAAAGAGCAATAACTTCTTCTAGTCTTCTACACTGATTTTCTTCCTTTTGTTGTGAACTTAAGTTGTATTTACAAATGTACAGGAATCATGACTAAACATATTGGTTACTTTCCCTGCATCAATTTCAAAATCCCTCTTATGCTGTCACAAAATCACCCCCTGGCTTGTTTTCCGTCCTTTATCCTCAACTCCTAGTGTTTCATTGCATCCTATCTTATTAAATTGTGTCATGTTATGTTGAATTACAATTGAAGGATTAATCATCATATCAAACCACAATTTCTGTTCATTTAAATTCCCCAGCATGTTATCACTTCATACACTACAAAGCTTACATACCCAACCATATAGTTTGGTAGTTTGACACAGATTAGATTTAACATAGAAGATACCAAACACCAGAATTCTTTGTTGGATTTCAACAAGAAATAAGAAAATCACCTAATTTTGCTTGTCAGATTTGTACCAATAGCTTTTTATTGCTGTTTTATCACTAGGCACTAGAAAATACCGCTGATTCAAAACAGCAGGGCAGATTTTCAAACAACTGCCTATAATCAATATCAGTGTTCAACATACAATAAAAGAGACTATCCAAGACCAGACAATCAGTGTGCAGAAACAATTTAAGTTTTTTTTCTTAACCCCTGAATTGGTTATTAATGTTCTCTAGGGTTAAAATATGCAGGCTGGCTTCTGACTGTTTCCTGTTTTTTTTTTCACAAATGGAGAAACCATGAAACATGTGGATAACTCTTTTCGGACTTATGGATGTAAATTACTTTATGTTTCTAGTCTGATGTGCTTTTTTGGGAGTGATTTTGTTTCTTAGAAGATGTTGCCTCCTTGATGTTTACCAATCTGTGTGTGTGTTCAAATTTGACTATAAATAATAACCTACATGTAGGCATCCTGCCGCAACCAGGATCCGTACCTGGTTCCCCTGTTTTGTATCATATGAACTGCTTTCAGTCAGATTCTATTAAAGTAATTTCTAATTCTACAGGTAAATTTTAACATGTGTTCAAAAATGCTTAATCTCTGTACATTCATGATTTAGTGAAGAGGGCTTTTATTTCTTTGCATATCGGCAAAGTTGGCCTTGATAGTTATTTTCCTCCTTTTTACAGAGATAATTGTTTTTCTAAATATGCATTTTTTTTATGTTAGTTGGTTTAATCTTTGATATTAGCATTTTATAAATGTTCTAAGATAAAAGTAAGACATTTTTTTTAGTGGATAGATAGTTTTCACATTTTCTGTGTCTAACTGGATGTCCCTGTAGACGATGCCTGTAAAATCTACTATTATTAAACTTATGTGTACCAGAATTGGTTATTTTCAGTTGGTATAGCATTAAGGCTGAAATTTCACTTTTCAACTTTTTTTTTTCTTTTTTTTTAACCAAACACAGGTTACAAACGTTGTCAAGTAAATGAAATGAAAAGGCTGCCAATATTCAGAATAATAGAGGAAAAACTCTTTTAAACTGTTGTTAAAGTCTACTTATGGTACTTACGCCATGCTGATCACCATGAAATCCAGCCAGTTCCATGGATCTCGAAGGAATGTAAAAGAACCAATACAGAAACCTCTCGACAACACTTTGACTGTTGCCTCAAAAGTATAGATTCCCGTAAAGACATACCTGAAAAAGACGACTTATCAGATATAAGAACAAGCAGCAGCCTAAGTAATCAAATACATCAATTGAATTGAATAAATCCACTTACTCAACAGTTTTACTCCATGCTGGTGGGTTACTCATCGTCATGAATACACAGTTTGACAGAATGGTAATCATGATGAACATGCTAAATAATTTAAGTAAGGATTAAGGAAATTACATCAAAGACCTTCAGCGTTTGTCAAAATGAGTGAAAAATGTCAAAATGTTAGATTATTACAGAAAAGGATATGAATGTATGAGAATTTTGATTGCTCCCCTCCTGATCACACTAAAGGGGCTGAGAATGTAACAAGCCGGCTCAGCGTTGAACCTGTAGATGGTATTCCCTTTGCTGATCACGACAAATGTCTGGAGAAAACAAACAGATTCTCTGTTAAAACAAGTCCATGTCCACCATTCTTGATATTGTTATGGACATCGTTTTTTTGGTTGGACTTAAATGGACTGAAACACACATTCTGGGCTTTGTAGAAGGGGTCCAGGTCCTCCAGAGGCGTATTTAAGAGTTCTGGAGGAGGGTCTCCATAGATTTGGGGCAGACTTTTTCCAGCTTCCAGATCACGGTGTGGACCCACTGGTTCTCCCTTGTCATGGCCTTCTGTGGATTCTTTTCTTTCCTCCGCGAGCCTCTTGATTTCCGCCAGTGACTTCTGGGTGAATGGACGGAAAACCTTAATGCCTGGAGGAGGGAGCAGGCTCGCCATCTTTGCATCGCGAAGGGAGATGACCACGCCGGGTATTCCCTAGATAGAGCTGGAAGTAAGCATGAAGAATTAAACATATTCTTGTCCAACATTTAGAGTTGCAACTATCTGTAGCAAACATATCTTTAGTTATTAAACCAAAAATACAAACACATGCTTTCATAACTCCAATTTTTAAGATTGAAACACTAAATCAACTAGATATTGTTTTCTTTATATGTACCAGCAGTTTAAAGTGAGTCAGTGTCTTCACAATTATTAGTAACAAATTGGCATACTGGGTATAAATACCATGCAACCAAAACCAGGTATTTCTAAATTGTGCTGCAGAATGGGAAAGAGAATATGCCAAATAAGGTTTATGTTCATTTCCCTAAGAAAAATAATCTGTGCTATAAACACGCCCATACCTACAAAATTTTTTCTTTCTTACAGATTTCCTGTAAGGGGAAGAATTCCCTGCTCAAATCATAGATGGTCCACAATGAACACAATTTTAATTCACTAGGAAGTCAACTGGACAACATAAACCCCTAGGCCACGGGTCAATGATTTATTTCGGCCACATGTCTGAGACTCCAGGGTGTCCCCTGATCACTACAAGGTTAGCTTGATATGCAGGAAGAGGAGGAAGCCTGACAGACTCAGCAAGACCAGGCTCTATTGTTGATGGAGCTGTGGCCGTAAGATCTGCTGTGCCTCTTGCAGCGGCAACCCCCGAACGTGGTGGTGGCCACTGGCATTAAGGGATGTTGTCAGGCTAAAGAATAAGTTATATCAAGCCTCATTAGCTAGTGTGACTCCTGAGGCAGCAAGCAAGTGAGCCAGGATTGTGTGCCAAGCAGGCTGCTGCATGGATGGTCATAGGGCCTGAAATTGATGGCTTGTCCTTTTCAAGTGTGAAGAGAATTCCTGCCTCAAGTGGAAGAAGTCAAGTACTTTAGGTCCTGTTCAGGGGTGAGAATAGAAAGGAGTTGGTGATGGACAGATGGATCTGTGCAGCTGCTACTATAATGGGGATGCTGCACTGGTCTGTTGTGGTGAAGAGAGAGCTGGTGGTATGCAGAGCCAAAGTGGCATGTGTCCTACCCTCAACTATGGTCTTGAAATCTGAATCATGACATTATGAACAAGATCCTGCATACAAGCGGCCAAAATGAGCTTGCCTTGGAGATAAGGTGAAGCGCTTGGTCATCTGGATGAGGCTTAGAGAAGACCTGCTTCTCAACCAAATCCAGAGAGGTCAGCTGTCTTAAAGAACAGCTTTCCATCTTTCCAAGACAACCATGCCATAAAATATAAAAATTACCAAAACCTAATAAAAGGAATAACTTTCCATCAAGAGTTTTTGATAATGACAATGAGTTTTTTATCTCACCATGGAGGAAATTCAGCCTATTCTGCTTTCTGCATCCTGCTACACTGAGGGTTTTCAAGCATACATTTTTTTCATTACCCCCCTTAAAGCTAATGAATCCGATTTAAAGGAGCAATAAGCATTAAGCAAAAAGCAAAAAAAAGGCTATCTTTTTAGAAGAAATATCTTCTCTCTGTGTTTTTCTCCAGTCTCTTGTTTGCAAACCTGGTCGGCTGCATGTGTGTCCATGTTAATAGCTGCCACTCAGCGCTTACCTCCTCTCTGCCCATGAAATACAACTGCCAGAGCAGTGTAGCGTGGGAGACAAATGGCAGAGAGTGCATTCAGTTGATCATGATCAAAACGTTCACCTGAAGACAGTCATTTTTAAAAATTAAGTTCTCTTGCTAACATCTAAATAAAGTTATATGTTACTTACCCCTTCTTTAGAAATTTTCCTCTGAAAGGTGATGTGGTTTTGCTGTACGTTTATCTTTTGCAATTACATGCATACTGGCATTACAAACTTTTTCTTTTATATATATATATATATATATATATATATATGAGTCCTACAAGGACACTACTTTAGTATGATGATGCAACCCTGAGGGGATCTAAGTCCAAACGTGCAGAGTTGCTCAAATGAAAATGCACTCCTACCACTTAATTGAAACCAAGGGGGAAGGACACTTAAACCAGAGTGGAGTCGGTCATTGATAGCCATGATAATGCTGCCTGACTATTAATGACAATATTTAAGAAGGAAGAAAGAGGTGAGCATTGGCCTAGTGGGTTAGAGCAGTGGGCTTGTGCTCTGAGAAGGTTGCAAGTACAGGTGCTGGTCATAAAATTAGAATATCATGAAAAAGTAGATTGATTTCAGTAATTCCATTTAAAAAGTGAAACTTGTATATTATATTCATACATTACATACAAACTCATATATTTCAGATGTTTATTTTGTTTAATTTTGATGATTACAAATGACAACAAATGAAAATCTCAAATTCATCATATCAGAAAATTAGAATATTACTGAAGACCAATAAAAACAAAGGATTTATAGAAATGTTGGCCAACTGAAAAGTATGAACATGAAAAGTATGAGCATGTACAGCACTCAGTATTTAGTTGGGCCTCCTTTGGCCTGTATTACTGCAGCAATGCGGCGTGGCATGGAGTCGATCAGTCTGTGGCACTGCTCAGGTGTTATGATAGCCCAGGTTGCTCTAATAGTGGCTTTTAGCTCTTCTGAATTGTTGGGTCTGGTGTATTGCATCTTCTTCTTCACAATACCCCATAGATTTTCTATGGGGTTAAGGTCAGGAGAGTTTGCTGGCCAATTAAGAACAGGGATACCATGGTCCTTCAACCAGGTACTGGTAGCTTTGGCACTGTGTGCAGGTGCCAAGTCCTGTTGGAAAATGAAATCTGCATCTCCAAAAAGTTGGTCAGCTGCAGGAAGCATGAAGTGCTCTAAAACTTCCTGGTATGTGGCTGCGTTGACCCTGGACCTCAGAAAACACAATGGGCCAACACCAGCAGATGACATGGCACCCCAAACCATCACTGACTGTGGAAACTTTACACTGGACTTCAAGCAACGTGGATGAAGTGCCTCTCTTCTTTTCCTCCAGACTCTGGGACCTTGATTTCCAAAGGAAATGCAAAATTTACTTTCATCAGAGAACATGACTTTGGACCACTCACCAGCAGTCCAGTCCTGTTTCTCTTTAGCCCAGGCAAGACGCTTCTGACGCTGTCTGTGGTTCAAGAGTGGCTTGACACAAGGAATGCGACAGAAGAAACCCATGTCTTTCATACGTCTGTGTGTGGTGGTTCTTGAAGCACTCACTCCAGCTGCAGTCCACTCTTTGTGAATCTCCCCCACATTTTTGAATGGGTTTTGTTTCACAATCCTCTCCAGGGTGCGGTTATCTCTCTTGCTTGTACACTTTTTTCGACCACATCTTTTCCTTCCCTTCGCCTCTCTATTAATGTGCTTGGACACTGAGCTCTGTGAACAGCCAGCCTCTTTAGCGATGACCTTTTGTGTCTTGCCCTCCTTGTGCAAGGTGTCGATGGTCATCTTTTGGACAACTGTCAAGTCAGCAGTCTTCCCCATGATTGTGTAGCCTATAGAACTAGACTGAAAGACCATTTAAAGGCTTTTGCAGGTGGTTTGAGTTAATTAGCTGATTAGAGTGTGGCACCAGGGGCCATCAATTTTGAACCTTTTCACAATATTCTAATTTTCTGATATGATGAATTTGAGATTTTCATTTGTTGTCATTTGTAATCATCAAAATTAAACAAAATAAACATCTGAAATATATGAGTTTGTATGTAATGTATGAATATAATATACAAGTTTCACTTTTTAAATGGAATTACTGAAATCAATCTACTTTTTCATGATATTCTAATTTTATGACCAGCACCTGTACATGGTTCCATTCCCACAGCCTCCACTCTGGGTTCTTGAGCAAGACCCTTAACCCCACACTGCTCCCTGGGTGCCACATAATGGCAGCCCACTGCTCCCCAAAGGGGATGGGTTAAATGCAGAGATACATTTCTCCAATGTGAGATCAATAAAGTCCAATTATTATTATCATTAGGCTGAATGCTTCCCATTGATATTCTGTTTACCAAAGGAACCTTCTACCTTAGTAACTATACAGTTGCCAACAGTTTTCTGCATAACAAGACCCCTACAGTGTAAGTACAGCCCATCCAACTGACACATGCTAATGTATACACCTTAATGAATTTTGCATTTTTTAACGGAGAGCTTCAGCCGTTTGCTACATTTGTGTAACATCTGTTTTTGTGTAGTTCTTTTCTATACGGCTATAGTCCCAATTGTGCCCCTTATCATCCAAATGCATTTAAGTCAAGTGACAATGGCCACAAAGCTGAAGGATGCAGCACAGCTGTCGATATTTTTGACCCCATAAAATGTAAAGAAAAAGCAGCTAGGCCCTATAATTTGCCCAATTAAAAATCATGATGTACGTTTCTAAAACCTAAATTGTGTTTTGCTTTTTTTCATTGAGCAACTAATATTTTATTGCATGATGCATATGCAGTCAAGTGTAACTTCACAAAACAATTACTTTACATTTTCTATCAGATTTCTTATCTCTTGGATCCATCAGTTACGTCAAGTTTTCTGACACCCTTCCACCATTCTGACGTTGGCCCTGAATTCCTTTTTCTCAAGTACTCTTTTAGTGTTAAACCTACTCACACCTCTTAAAAAAGCTAAACTTTGTCTCAAAAGTCCATAGAATATTGCACCAGGACACGTTTTAGAAATGTAACATAGGTTTGTGTGTTCTTTGTGATCGGCAGCTCATTTTGGCCTGGATCCAGCTCTCCTTTTATATCTAAGTTTCTTCTTTATTATCGACAGAGTTCCTGCAGCGCGGTAAACATCAAATTTAAGAACTTTACAGAACCAATTTCCTGCTCTTTAAACATTTCAGTGAGACATAAAAAACAGACATCATTACATTGCCACAATAACAATTTCTTTGACAGCATTTCTATGCAACGCAATCAGAGGTGCCAGTAATTCTGCATCAAATGTTGCAATTAGTTTTGTTGTTCTGATTACTAACAAAACTAATACCCTTTTAGTCTTAACCGTGGTTCCGGATAAATGTCACTCCAGGGGTCTCCAA